ACACCACCACGTCAAAATGCAGCAAAATCTTTTTAAAAAAAACTACAAAAGGAAATAGGTTTTCTACAGTAATCTACAGCAATCTTCTCGAGCTCGAGTACCGTCCCATCAAATTTCAGGCAACAAAAAACGGAAAAATCGAAAAAGAATCTTCCAAAATAGCTGGAAAACCTAAAAAGGTCTAAAAATTTTGCGAAAAATCGAAGAAAAAATCAATTTGGCTTTCGAAAAATCTCAAAAAATCTCTAGTTTTTTGGAGCGATTTTTCGACGTTTAGCGAATTTTTGTGTAATTTTAAATTTGCCAAAAAATCCTATCAATTATGCCCTGAAGCCTAAAATAACTCTTCCTATACAATTGTCTCACCCCCGTCGTTTTTTAAACAGCGTCAAAAATGCCGCTGTCAATGAATAGAAGCGCTAGAAGATGAAGGCAAAGGACCCATCCAAAGTGTTGTTTTGTGTTGTGTTGGAGAAGTGTCGAGACGACGGCATCTAGTGTTTCTATTTTGCTCATCTATTCATTGTTTCTGTCTTCTCTTTCCTCTCCTTTTTCTGATTCCAGTGCATTCTCTCTCCGGGGAGCCGTCACTCAACTTGGAAGCCTCTCGAATTACTCTCCGCCACCACAAAAATACTATCAGGAGGAAGCAAAAAACTAACGAACTAGGAGGAGAGTAGAAATGCACGTAGAGGAGGTCATGAACCTGGTGGAGCAAGCGGAAGCAGCTGACGCCACGTAGAACCAGATGGTTCGTGAGCCAGGCGGGTTATGATCGATGAGTCAGTCTGTGAGGGGAAAGTGGGATTCAAGGAACGATGAAATCCCTTAACATCTGGCGAATCCTATTAATTTTCAGGTCCCTCTTCTTTCAAGGATTTCCCAATTTTCCCTAGAAAAAAGCTGCAAAAAAAAACGGAGAGCAAGCACATTATTATTCTCTTGTGTTGTTGCTCGTCTTGCTCCTTCTACTACTACTGCGCGTGGGTAAAAAATGGAGAAGGTAAGCTTCGTCGTTTCCCCTCGATAAGTGTTGCAGTCTGACGTCATCTTTTTCCGCACGACTCCAGAAACCAAAATCATTGTTTCTCTTTGTTTTCTGTTCAAAAGCAAAAAACAGAAACGTTTTGGTGTTTCACAAGCAATCAATTTCCCTTCAATTTCAATTTTGGGACTCTTCCAAAAAGGAAAAGTGGTTCAATTTCGTTTATTCTGAAATTGACACATGAGCATAGAGAGAAGAGACGCAGAGTGACAAAGAGAGGAACGCGAAAAACACGAAGTTTGGAGCAGAACCCTTGCTGCTGACCCGTGTTGGAAATTGACACCACTTTATGTTTTGTACTGGTCGGGCTACAGCTGAACGACTCATACGTTCTGGGAAGTCATTGAGAGAAAATGAATGACGTGGAGAAGGTTTAGAAATATCTGGGGAATCTGAGAAGCAACATTTTGAAACATGTAGGATCCTACAGTAGGATGCTTCTAGAGCTTTTCAGCACTACTTTTTTCAGATAATTCAAAAAAAAAATGGCATCTGGATATTTCGATTATTCGTTTGAAGAGACTATGACGATTTCCAAATCGCAAAATCAGTGCTACTGTAAACCCTTAGCGCGTCGAGACCCGCAAAAAAATTTGAGCGGAATTTTTAGAGTTTTTATCTAAAATTTCAATTTATTTGGAATTTCTCGAATTTCTTGATTTTTAAAAAATATTTTTTGACAATTTTGTAACTTTTGAGAATTTTGGAATTTCAGAATTTTTTGATTTTCAGGAATTTTTGAAATTTTCAGATTTCAAAGATTTGCTGATTGGCGTTCACTTTGGACTGCTTTTTGGACCCAGAAATCCTAGTTTTTGGGACTTTCTTTTAGATTTTTTTCCCTATTTCTTCTTATACCAAATGTCTAATTTAGTCGAATGAGAAGCCTGTCGACCTGTCTTCCCGTGTGAAACCTGACACCACTCCTGGCAAGAAACCAGTATCTTTTCACTCCTTTCTTCTTCTTCTTCTTCTATTTTATTCGATTTCTTTCTCATTTCCCATTTGACCCCTTTCTCTGGGAGAGAGGGAATCTGGTTTCAGTTTTTTCGTAACAGAAGAAAAAACTCACAAAATACGGCGATGGACGTGTTGGGAGCATCGACAGTTAGTCCGATCTGTGAGACGATGTTGCCCGGACCGCCGAGTAGACGGGCTTCGATGAATAGGCAGCCCGCTTCGGATAGTGTGTTTAACGGCAACAGTGACATCTGAAAAAATTGAGAGTTTTGAGTTTTTTCAGAGATAGACAGTTTTGATGCAAAGGTGGCCGTGGCAGGGGGTCCCACAACAACAACTACAGTAACCTATTTTTTTTCCGGATTTTTTTCTCGATTTTCGTGCAATTTCAGTCTTTTTTCAACTATCTAAAATTCAATTTTCCTATCATTTTGAGGAAAAATAGCTGGAAACTTGGCGAAAATTAGTTAAAATCGAGATTTAAAATGCAGAAAATGAAAAAAATTTCAGGGTTACTGTAGCTATCGTTGTGGGACCTTCGGCCACAGCTCCGGTTTTTTGTACCAAAATAATGGTATTTTACTCCGAATTTTCGCCAGTAAAGTGGAATTTTTGACATAGAAAAAATTGGATTTCAGATTTTTTTGAAAACAAATTTCGCAATTTTTCAAATCAACCCACAAAAAAAGCTTCGAAAAACTCACTTTTCATGGAGAACCATGAATTCAGAACAACACCGATTGGTTGTGAGCCCCAGTTTGCATAACCTGAAATTTTTCGAATTATTTTTTGAAAAGTTCGCAAAGAAGAGAACGAATTTCAAACGGATTAAATGGAGAGAGAGAGTAAGCTTCTGTCCAATAGAAAAAGAGAAAAAGAGACAAAATGTGTACTTTTTGGGGGAAAACAAGAGGGGAGAAATTTGAAAGTTGTCCGTCTGTGACAAAAAGGATTTTCTATGTCTGAAAAAATGAAGAAAATAGGAGAAGAACATGAATAATAGTAGGGGGATTTTTGAAGACAAACGGAAGTGTCTCTTATGGAAAACAAAAGAAAAAGGATACGAATAAGTATAGAAAAAAACTTGCAAGGAGCAAAATCTATTTTAAAAAAACTCAAATTTAAGAATTTTTCTACTAATTAGCGATATAAAAACGGAGATGTTCGGGTGGGGACAACCACAAGATTTTATTCTAGAGTGATGAGAAAAAAAGCTGTCTGTGGGGCAAAAGGAAAACACAAAAAAGAGTCTTCGGCCTCGGTTAGTATTGGCATTCAGCCAAATAGAAGGAAGAAGAAGAAGACTGAGGAAGAGGACCCTGGCTCCCATTCGTGTCTCCCGTCTCTTTCTCTCGCACTCTCCGAATCTCTCGTTCCGGCGTCGTTGCTTCGCGGAGAGGCGACGGACACATTGGCGTAAAGCACGCGCGGGGGGCTTTCAGCTTTTTCTCTGTCTCTTCGGGAGGTTTAGGGAGGAGAGAAATGATTGGGTGGTATAGAGGGAGGAGGATACATTGGGAATGGAATTGGATTAGAATCCATTGAAATGGAATTTAGCAGGTGTGCAAAGAGCATCCTCTTTTTTATAAGTGGTTTTTTTGAGTGCATGCTTTACACAGTTTTTCACAAGTTCAAACAAACAAAAGAATTTCGTATCGCAAAGTGAGAAAAAAAAATAAAAAATTACAGTACCTCCGTAAATCGACACTAAAGGCACAACGTAGTAAATTGTTTATTGAGTCTCGCCATGAATACCGTGATCAGAAGCTTCAACGGGCGATTGATAGAGAGAGCAAGAAAAACTTCGTTTTTTTTCATTTTTTCGCAAAAACTGAAGGTTTTTTTTCAGTTTTTTAGTCCATTCTCGACCTAGTTTACGAAGCATTTTCTTTAAAATACAAGTTCAATCGAACAAAAGAATTCTGCAAAAAAACCTGAAAAAATTACAGTATCCCCCGTAAATCGACACAAAAGATGCAAGGTAGAAAATTGTTCCTTGAGTCTCGGTACGAATGCAGAAATCTTCGATGGGCGGCCGAAAAAACAAGAAAACTGATTTTTTTCCCTTTTTTTGCAAAAAAGCGACAATCTAAACAATTTATTTTTTTGCAAAAGAGCAAATGTTTGCTCACTGAAGAACAAAAAGAGCTGCTTCGTAGTAAAAATTGTAGTTTATAAAAGAAAAAAAAGATTGGCCTAAAAAATGCGGCAACCTTCAGACTCTCTTGTGAAGATCAATTGTGTCAATGGCCGCGCGCCTTGGCGGGAAAAACTGTACTGCTGTCGCTATATACCGCCCATCTCTCTCTTCTTCTTTTTCTCATATCGATTGCTATCGCAAGAGACACTGAATTAAATACAAGCGATGACGGGTATAGTCTAGGGTCTGTGAAACTGCCAATTTCGGGTTGGGAGAATTCTAGTGAACGAGGCGTCGAAAAGATACAGGTCGCTCCCCAAAAAATAATAAACAAGCATTCGCGCCAACAATAGAGAAAAGAGGAAGAACAAACAGGGAAGACTAAAGGAAGGAAGCCAAAACACAACAAAGTGACATTCCATCAATGTCGGTATTTATTTTCTTCACAAGATCTGGGACAATGAAACAACCTTAGAAACAAAATTATCTTATTTTTGAAGCTAAAGTTTAGAGAAAAGAAAAATTAAAGAAAAAAGATAAAACAAAAAAAGATTATTAAAATGATGGGTGGGGAGATTTTAAAAAATAAAGTGAAGCAATGTACTTCAAAAAATAACAAGGGGGTAAGGTGTAAAGTATGATGATAAAGATAGAAAAATTTAGTTCCAGTGAAACCGACGAGATCTGGATATTAGAAGCTTGCTGAGAGCAAAGATGTCGTTTACCAACGTCCGCCGCCACCTCCTCCGTATCCTCCGTTGTCGTAACTGAAATTTTGTATATTTATTTGTCATTAGCATAATAAATCTCACCGTGGCCGCTTTGGAGCGAAGTTGTCGTTTCCTCCGTATCCACGCTTTCCTCCGCCGCCACCACCGTAACGACCTCTGGAGCTGCTACCTCCATAACTTCGGTTGCCCATATCACGGAGAGCTTGTGGAACGTTTTGCTTGGCTTCGTCGAGAACCTTCAAAAGGTCTTTTGCCTTTGAGGCGTTGGTATGGGTGAAGAAGGTGTAAGCGGTTCCCTGGAAAAAACAAGATATTATCTATCAGTATGAATCGATGCAAAGCTTACCTTCTTGTCACGTCGTCCAGTACGACCGATTCTGTGAACATAGTCCTCCGAATTGTTTGGATAGTCGTAGTTGATTACGAACTTGATGTCATCAACATCTGAAATATTAGGTTTACGATTGCTTGGTCAGATCCAAAGAATACGAATTGGCGACTCTCAACCAGGTGAACCAAGATTTATAAACACGAGAGAACCGAATATAGTGAAAAGCCGATTCACTCCTCTTTGAGTTCCAAATATTCCGAAGAACATTCCATTCCGAGTGCTTTAGTTTTTTAACATCAGGTGCGCAAAACCTAGTTCACCAAGTTGAGAGCAATCACCACAAGGAGACCGCCGATACAACTCTCAAACTAAGTTATACGTACTCACGCACCTGAACCCAGAATTCTAAAAATGGGGAATAAGGAACCAGAGGAGATTAAACTCGACGAAGACACTGGAGTCGTCGGAACAGCATACGCAAGCCAGAGCGCCAATTTCAAATGTCAATCATAATGATGGCATGCGCGCCGAACCGCTTTCTCCGATGTGTAGATCTCATTCACAGAGTACCTCCGCGTTGAAGGTACTCTCTGCAACTACACATCCACAACGTCTGATATGATAACGTCGTGAGACGCTTCCAAAATCATCCGTTTGAAATCCGATAAATCCTCACGGCAAATCATGTTGGTGCAACTGTAAAGGGTCAAATAAAAATCACATATTACATGGCCAACAGGCCATAACGAATGACTCGATCATCTAGAAGAACCATAAAGAGCATCTCCTCTTATCGATCTTTCTGATCATGTGACATCTCAAATTTGACCCTTTCTAACTTAGGCGCGCATATACTAACCCAATCCACGAGCAGCGACATCGGTAGCTAACAAAATTGGCATCTTTCCGGCTTTGAATTCTGAAAAAAGTAAAACTAGTCATTACCTTTTTTCCTTATCACAAACCTTGAAGAACCCAGTCTCTTTCTCCTTGATTTTTGTCTCCGTGAATGCAAAGAGTTGGCCAGCCGTCACGACGCATGGCGCGGGTCAGTTCATCAGCCTTTCTCTTGGTCTCAACGAAGATGATGGTCTTGCATTCTTTCTGATTCATGATGTGATTGAGAAGCTCCATGAGCTTGGCCTGCTTCGCATGCTCTTCCAAAACATCGACGACTTGGGTGATGTTATGGTTGGCAGCCAATTCGAGTGATCCAACATTCAGGAAAGCGGCATCTTTTTGGAAATCAGAAGCCAATGAGCGAACTTCCTTGGGCCAGGTGGCGGAGAACATGAGAGTTTGTCTATCCGGCTGAAAAATTAGCTTTGATATGCAGGAGAATATCATGTCTCAACTTACGCGAATTTGTCCGATGATCTTTCTGATCTGTGGCTCGAATCCCATGTCAAGCATACGATCGGCTTCGTCGAGAACCAAGTACGAGCATCTCTTCATGTTTGTAGTTCCGTTGTCCAGGAAATCGAGCAGACGTCCTGGAGTGGCGACAGCGATATCGACTCCACGCTCAAGATCACGAGCTTGTGGTCCCTTCGAGGCTCCTCCGAAAAGACAGGTCATCTTGAGTCCCAAGGAGTGACAGAAATCGATGGAGACTTCTTGGACTTGTTGAGCAAGCTCACGGGTTGGGAGCAAGACAAGAACGGAAGGTCCCTCTCCACGTTGACGGTGTGGCTGTTTGGTGATGTGAACAAGAGCTGGAAGCATGAAGGCCAAGGTCTTTCCTGATCCTGTCTTGGCAATGGAGATGATGTCTCTTCCGCTCATGGCGATTGGCCAAGAAATCGATTGGATGACAGTTGGCTTCTGGAACTTTCCATAGAGAAGCTCGTGGACCTGTCCTGGCAATGGGGCTTCGTTGAACTCGAAGACTGGACGTGGGATACCACGTCCTTCCAAAGTAACTTGATTGGCCGATACCCATTGGTCAATTTCGTACTGATCACGGCGCGAAACGGCGGCATTTTCGTGATAGAAGTCTTTTTGGATTGGCTGCAAGTTCTCGGCAGTCCAATCGATATCTCGAAGACGTCCACCAGCCGATCCTCCGCTGGATCCTCCACGGCTCGACGATCCACCTCGCCCGCCTCCATATCCACCACGTCCTCCTCCGTAGCCACCGCCATATCCACCACCACCTCCGTATCCGCCGCTTCCACCTCCGTAGCCTCCACCTCCGCCACCACTGCGGGATCCTCCGTAGCCACCGCTGCTACCTCCATAACTTCTTGAGCTTGAACTGGAAAAAAAATCGATTGAGATAAATCTATGAATGGTTGCAACTTACTATCCGCGATCTCCCATTTTGTTCTTTATATGTTGTTGAAATGCAAACTTTTGATCCTTTAAGGGTTCCTGAGAAAACAAATATCGACTTCGATTAGTAGACCTCTCGTTTGGCTCTTCGTCTTCCGATTTAACAAAAGGACGGGCTGTCGAATAACAAAGTTTAGTTTGATTCGAAGCGCCGAGTAAACGAGTAGCAAACGAGAATTGACGGATGGAAGAGAACCAAATTTTGATGGAAATTCGGTTGTTTTATACCCTATAAAACCCAAGTGTGGCGAAAATAGCTGGTTTTTAGTATTTTGCGTCACACCGTGCGAAGGGTAGAAGTTAGGGGAGAAACAGAGGAAATTCGGGGGATCAGTGGGGGAAAAACAAGAGAGAATATACAGATTTTGTTAAAAAAGATTCTCAATTATACTAAAAGACGCTCTGCGCAAAAAAGAAATCTGTTTAAATGAGCAGATTCGAAACGTTTTGGGACGAAATGAACAAAAAACAAATCAAAAACGCGGGCGAGAGGGGAGTCAGAGAAATGTCGTTGCGAGACCTTGTGCCGAGTCAATAGCATGCGCCTTTAAACTAGTGACGTCATACTGTTACGATGCATCCACTATTGACCTTGTCAGCTGATAAATTGAACTCTCAGAAGCTTCACATAAGATTTCTAATTTTTTTCTCTTTCGATTGACCCTAAAACCAACTGGCAAGCTCGAAAAATCGATAAACCCAATTAATTTCATAATTCGAGTTTCTGGTTCCTTCTCGAAATTTCCACCTCGCTTTGTCATCATTTCTATCCTTTATAAGCCTCAGTTAGACATCCCTCGAACCCATTTTTCCCAATTCAACAATGGCAGAGTTCCCGAATCTCGGAAAACACTGTGAAAGTGCAGTTTGTAATCGACTAGGTGAGTTTTTCTGTTGTTGTGATAAAATAAAATAATAAAATCCGTTTTTATAGATTTCCTCCCTATCAAATGCTCCGGATGTGCGCATTTCTATTGCTCAGAACACTTCACATTTGAAGCTCACAACTGTCCGACTGGGTCGAGAATAGTGAGTTTTGTTTTAAATCAGAAAATAAATAATTGTATATACTTGCAGTCAGTTCAAGTTCCCATCTGTCCGATATGTGAGAAGCCGGTACCGACACCAAAAGATGGAAATGTCGATTATCAAGTATGTCATGTGTCATTTTTTCAATAACATAAATCATTATTTACAGGTCAATGAGCATATTCAAAACAACTGTCAAACCAAGAAATCAAAAGTCTACACGAATGCCTGCTCAGTTCCAAAGTGCCGGAAGAAGGAGCTAGTGGCCATGAACTGCTCGAAATGCAGATTCAACTACTGTCTTTCTCATAGACACGAACGAGACCACAGTTGTGAGCGGAAGTCGGAAGAATACAAAATGCAACAGAAGAAGAATGCCGCCTCTTGGACTGACTCGTAAGTTTTTCCCTTCCCTCTAAAAGCGAGAAAAGAATTGCAGACTAAAAATGGGTCTGTATCGTGTCGATCGTTTTGTATCTCGAATGATGCATAAAGAAGATATAGAACAGTTTTGAACTTTTATTTCTGGTTTCAAAAAAGAATAAAGCTTTATCTCAATTTTCAAACTATCATCATCATAATTTCCAGATTCACATCAATCGCCCGATCGCGAATGAATCCCTGCTCGTCTCAGGCAAGAACGGCGGGAGATGAAGCACTCGCCCGATCACTTCAGCAGGAGGAGTATAACAGAGTCCCTCATCAAAACCAGTCTAGAAATTCCAACAATAATTGTACAGTTTCCTGAAATTTGACCCAGCCAACTGATTTATCTCCCATTTTCTGTATAATGCTCGCATTCCAACCTCGTTCTAGTTCATGTGATAATTTTAATTTTCATCGCCATTCTTATCATTTCAATTCTACTATCAATGTATCTTTCCATTCGAGTTTGTTCAAAAAATCCGCTTCAACAACATTTCAGGAAACAATTCCCGGAATTTGTCCACTTATGAGGAAAACTCTCTGGTTGTGATATTCTCGAGGACACAAATCGGAAAATGTATTGGTTTCGAATTCTCAAGACTGAGTTTCTGGAGTCAAAGAAAGGAAGGGAAACAAGTTCGAGCGCATGAAAATTTATTATCAGAAAACGGTTTTAGATTCAGAAAGCATTTTAAAAAATGGAAAAATGACTGAAAGAAGTATTACATTTTTGGTTGAGTAGGGAAGTGTGAAAGGAAAAGAGAGTGGACCAGTTTGTGAGAGATACCCGAAAGAAGATTCGAGAACGTTTGAAGATTGACAAAAATATAAAAGAGATTCAGTTCCAAAATTTAGGTTATATAAAAAGATGACTAATTCCATTCATCGACGTCATTGTTTCACTCCTGGGTGACTGGAGCGACAACTGGACGGCGTCTTCTCTTGATTGTTGGCTTGTTCCACAGAGTAGCTGGGCGTTTGACTCCCTTGGTACGCTCGTAGAGATTGCAAGAACTGAAAATTTATAGAAACTATAACGATCATTTGAAAATTGAACTTACTTGCACTCTGGCTCTCCCTGTTCGTTTCTTCTCCACAATTTGGTTTCACGAGTTCCACAGTTTGAGCAAGAAGTGTTCAAATGCATTGTCGACACTTTTGGAACCTTCTTCTTTGTGAATTTTCTTTTTGGAGGTGGTGGTGAAGTAGTGGAGAAATTGTAATCGTTTACTGGTGGTGCTGGAAATCCATTCATTCCATTGACAAAGTTTCCATTTACTTCGTTAAAATCGACATCTGGCGACGAGTTCAAAGAACTGTCCTGTCTATGAATTATATCAGACTGAGCCATTGGAATCTGATGGGGAAGTGGTTGGAAACGGTCTTGTTGGAATCCGAGTTGGAAGTTTTGCTGAAATCCTGAATCCATAGCTTGTTCTGGCATCATTTGAAAATCCATCATTGGGAATTGTTCAGCCATTGGAGGGAACTGTTGATGACCTGCAAAATATTATAAATGTGTTTTTTGAATTATTTTCAAACCCAAGACTTAGAAGACAAAGGTTGCTAGTTTCAGAAAAAGTTGTTACGATATTGTCGTAAACTAGATCACTTACCATAAAACATCATTCCATCGTTCGGTGGTCCCATTGAATCTGATCTAAATTGTTGATTTGTCATCATGTTGTTATAATCCATAGGCATTCCAGGGGATGGAGTACCGTATCCCATATCGAATCCTTGATAATGGAACATTGGATCGATAGGAACAGTGTAATTGGAATTGGTCGACGAAGAAGAAGAAGCGAAAGATTGAGAGTACATATTCTTACTCGGTATTCGGTTAAGAATGATTTAGAATAACCGGACCTAACACGTCGACTGGAAAGGGGCGGGGCTTACCACGAGTATACTATTCCTTATTCAGATCCGCTTTTTGAGAGGTCCGATGGTTTATAGTCATAGGCGGTTTGTCTTACAAACTGTATATTTCAGGATACTCATTCTCATTCATCTTACCGACTTTTTCTCCTGGGAAGAGGGGTCTGAAATGTTTGAAGTCATCAGGAGAAACCTTCAGGTTAATGAAATCTGAAATTTTATTAAACTAGGCTTTCTGGAAATGATTGAACAAACGATTTCTTTATCTCATTGATGTTAGCTTGCAGGAAACTGAAAAGAATTTGATCAGAATGGCGATAAAAATGAAAGTGTGACATAGATATGATCTAGGTTTGTAATGCGAGCACTATACAGAAAATGATTGTTAGTGATAAATCAGTTGGCTGGACTAAATTTCAAAAAACTCATGACCAAGATGATAAACTCTGGAGATTGGACCAACATACCTGAGACATTAAATAGTAGGGAAAGATAATTGATGATTAGAAAACGTACGGTATTTCAATAACGTATTGAGCTGGTCTCTTTTCTGGTTCATTCGGATCGTATTCCTCAAATTCTATCAAATGTCTATGTTACTAAATTGAAATGTCTATGTTACTAAATTGAAATGTCTATGTTACTAAATTACTCAATGTCTATGTTACTAAATTGAAATCGAAAAAAAGTTTACTGTGAAGTTCGGACATGGTTCCAAAGCAAATACAAAGTGAGTTTTTTCAGGATGTTGTGCATGGAAGACGGAAGTATTCAACACATAATTAAATGTGCCAACGACCCAATGTTAGTTCAGAAAGCGTGTCAAGATCATATAAATTCAATATTTCACTACTCCGATACTTACGACTTGATTATATCAATGAAATGTGGAGGACCACTGCCAAACATCACAAATGTTTCCAAAATACAGATAAAGGATGAAACTGTAGATCCACAATTTTTAAAAAACGTTTTGACTACATATTCCGACCATCACAGCCTAATTGTCCATTCGAAAATTGTTGGAGATCTACCGAAAAATTCTCCATTTTTTCAAGTTCAAAACGTTGTTGCAGATCGATCCGGACCGGATTACTTTCACGTAATGTTTTTTTTGAATTTTCAATTTAACTGTTCAATTTTTTCCGTATTCAGAATTTCGTCGGTAGAAAAATGTTTTTGACACTCGCTACCGTAACTGAACAAGATCTCATTCCATTTCTTCAAAAATGGATTTCAAACGAAGCTTATCATAATCTGGAGACTTTATACATTATTACACGGAAAAGAATAAATGTAGACCTGATACGTCAGTCGATAGAATTTGAGGAATACGATCCGAATGAACCAGAAAAGAGACCAGCTCAATACGTTATTGAAATACCGTACGTTTTCTAATCATCAATTATCTTTCCCTACTATTTAATGTCTCAGGTATGTTGGTCCAATCTCCAGAGTGTATCATCTTGGTCATGAGTTTGTTGAAATTAAACGAATCACAGACGGGAAAAGAGCGTTCCTTTCTGTTGGTGTTTCCTATTTCAGATTTTTTGTTCACAAAAATTGATTAAACCGGAATAATATTTTTTTTTTCTCAAATAATTCCTCTGACTATTCCAAAGTAGAATTTCGGGTCTTCAAAAATGTTGTCCAATTCCAAACTTCGCAACATGTTTGAAAATTCAACTCTTTTTCTTCTTTTATTCGAGACTTCATTTTTAATGTCCTTCTTGTTTCTTTCATTTTTTTCCTTGGCAAAACTGTTCTTTAATTTTCTGCATGTTTCAAAAGTATCCTAATAATAATAATGAAAACATCATCTATTTGTTGGCTAAAAACTTGAAATTCTAAGTGCGCAAATATGGAAAAAAAACAAATTATGGAATGTCAATAAATCTTTTTTTTTAATTTCAGAATGCCAATAAATCTTTTCAAACAACCTTCTTTAGTTCGATTCTTGATTGTGACTGATATGGGGTACGAGAAAATATTTCTACTTAGTCTACTTACTTATTACCAGTCGATTTACGCCGCCTACCGGCGGCTACAATCTCCAGGCTTCATGTAAAACGGTCGAATCTCAAAACCGGAGAGAAATAGTTAAAGCTATAGTTGACTGTGTTGTTAACTTTGATAAATCTGACTGACAGTCCGTTTTCACTTCTCCGGGACTAAACCTTTCTGCTCCTGCTTACAACACCTGTAAACCCCTAGAAAAGAAAGGGTGTATTTTTATTATGAACTTAGAAACTATGAAGAAAGAAAAAAAACCCGACAAAAAACTCCTGAAATTGTCCGATTCTCAAACTCTCAAAAAAAAAAAAAAATTTAGATATTCTAGACGTTCTAAATTTCTAAAACTAATCCTTAAAAATTTATTTTAGCAAATTTGGGGAATTAGGATCTCAAACATTTATATCACCTTTTATATTTTGAAGCATCAACAGATTATGATTATGGGAAATCTGGTTTCTGCTAGTTTTTCTGCTAGTTTACTAAGTTTTCAGACAGAAAATCATCAACTCAAGCTGTTTCTCTATATGCGAAAAAAATTCTTCAAATTTCAACCGTCTTATATCTCTTTCATTTTTATCGCCATTCTGATCAAATTCTTTTCAGTTTCCTGCAAGTTAGCATCAATGAGATAAAGAAATCGTTTGTTCAATCATTTCCAGAAAGCCTAGTTTAATAAAATTTCAGATTTCATTAACCTGAAGGTTTCTCCTGATGACTTCAAACATTTCAGACCCCTCTTCCCAGGAGAAAAAGTCGGTAAGATGAATGAGAATGAGTATCCTGAAATATACAGTTTGTAAGACAAACCGCCTATGACTATAAACCATCGGACCTCTCAAAAAGCGGATCTGAATAAGGAATAGTATACTCGTGGTAAGCCCCGCCCCTTTCCAGTCGACGTGTTAGGTCCGGTTATTCTAAATCATTCTTAACCGAATACCGAGTAAGAATATGTACTCTCAATCTTTCGCTTCTTCTTCTTCGTCGACCAATTCCAATTACACTGTTCCTATCGATCCAATGTTCCATTCTCAAGGCTTTGATATGGGTTACGGTACTCCATCCCCTGGAATTCCTATGGATTATAATAACATGATGACAAATCAACAATTTAGATCAGATGCAATGGGACCACCGAACGATGGAATGATGTTTTATGGTAAGTAATCTAGTTTACGACAATATCGTAACAACTTTTTCTTAAGCTCCTGGGTTTGAGAAGTTCATAAAATGTTTTCAAAAAATGTTCTAATATTTTGCAGGTCATCAACAGTTCCCTCCAATGGCTGAACAGTTTCCAACGATGGACTTCCAAATGATGCCTGAACAAACTATGGATTCAGGATTTCAGCAAAACTTCCAATTCGGATTCCAACAAGACCAGTTCCAACCACATCCGATTCCAATGACACAGATTCACAGACAGGACAGTTCTTCGAACTCGTCGCCAGATGTCGATTTTAACGAAGTAAATGGAAACTTTGTCAATGGAATGAATGGATTTCCAGCACCACCAGTAAACGATTACAATTTCTCCACTACTTCACCACCACCTCCAAAAAGAAAATTCACAAAGAAGAAGGTTCCAAAAGTGTCGACAATGCATTTGAACACTTCTTGCTCAAACTGTGGAACTCGTGAAACCAAATTGTGGAGAAGAAACGAGCAAGGAGTGCCAGAGTGCAAGTAAGAACAATTTTCAAATGATGGGATCATTATAATAAAAATTTTCAGTTCTTGCAATCTCTACGAGCGTACCAAGGGAGTCAAACGCCCAGCTACTCTGTGGAACAAGCCAACAATCAAGAGAAGACGCCGTCCAGTTGTCGCTCCAGTCACCCAGGAGTGAAACAATGACGTCGATGAATGGAATTAATCGATTTTTCATATAACCTAAATTTTGGAACTGAATCTCTTTTTTTTTCATTTTTGTCAACATTCAAATGTTCTCGAGTTTTCTTTCGGGTTTCTCTCTCAAACTGGTCCACTCTCTTTTCCTTTCCCATCTCTTATTTTCCTATTCAACTACATAAATTTTCTCCACTTTCCAGCTGTTTAATAAGAACATTTTTTCCCGAAAAATTTATTCTGAACGTTTGAGCGTTATTAGAACAACAATACAAGATTCGTATTTGTAAAAATCTGTAGCAACTAATTGTAAGTTGAAAACACAGAACCCACGAGGTTATGAAAATCAGTTATTAGTTCTACCAGACACTTTAACACTTTTTTTGTTTTTGTAGAAGATGCATGGACTGAAATATAGTTCTTAATAGTTTTTGGACAAATTTTTCAAGCTCACCCGCACTCTGGCTTCTGCCAATTTTCCGGGAAATTGGTGCATGGTTTTCCACAGTTCATACAGCTCGGAGGCTTTATGATTGCTCCAAAAGCATCTTGGGATATGGCTGCAGACGGTTGATAGGGAGGATGACCACCTAATCCACTAATTGGGACTTCCTTCTTTTTCTGTAATTCATTAAAACATTCCAAAAATCTAAAATTTTTCAAACTCACATAATCTGACTTCTTCTGATACTGGGCATTGTTCCATAGATGTTTCGGTCGCTCCCTTTTGAATTTCAGTTTGTATGCATTGCATTTTCTGAAATCAAAAAATGTATGCTTTTTCATAAGTAAGTATCTCTTACGAGCATCTGTATTCGCGCTCAAAAGCAGCACGTCTTCTACGAGCTTCCCCACAATTCACACATTTTGTAAGTTTTTTCTGAAACAGTGGACTTAAAAACTCCTGAAATATCTCAGTGTTTTACCCATCCAGGAGAATCATCATCTTCCTCTTTTTGAACATCACCTGTTCTCCGCTTCCAACATTCCTCGGGTCTATGTTTCCCTGTACGACGTTTGTACATTCCACAAGTACTAAAATTTTTGTCGTTTTAATGTAACTTCTCTAGAAAAACTCACTTGCACAGCATTGTCCTATTTTCAAACCTCTTCTTGTTTTTCGATCCACAATTGCGGCAGATTTTCTCAATTTGTATCTCGGTTTCTATAGAAGAAATATCTGTTGGAAGAGCGGAACTCGGTGTTTTTGGTTCAGACTCTGACGAATTCGTAGATACAGAGAAATCAAATTCTGCTCTCTGATTCTGGGATGGATTTTGACTTTGATCTGAATACTACGTTAGATTTTTCGAATATGAAAATGGCAGCTTACTGTAATTCAAAACTGCGCAAGGCTGAGTTCCTGGAGAAGGTTGGTTCAATTGATCAGGAGAAAGTCCATGTTTTGGTTGACCTGCTAGGGCTTCATTCTGTATTATATTCCCATCTCCAAAGTCGGGATTGTTCTGCTCAAAACTCTGATGGATATTTTTGTGAAGTCTGTGTCCAAAATGTTGCTCATTGACACAAAGTTGGTCTTGCTGGCTAAACTGATATGGCTCTTTGTTTGCGAGATGGCCAACAAATCCTAGATGATGACCTGGATCATTTCTATGGAATGGAGCATGATTAGGCATATGTCCTTGATGATGTAGACTCGGTATATGATGTCCTTGCCTATCAGATTGTGAGTGGTGTGCATAATTTTCACCAAGGATTGATCCATGGACTTTCTGATTGAAGTGGCCAGGAAAATGGTCTTGACATGGTTGGGCTCCTCTGGAGAAGTTCCAGTGGTTTGTTTCTTCAGTTTGATGGACATGATGAATCTGATGCCCAAGTTCGGAATTTGATCCTAGAATGCTTTTATGAGCAACAGACTGGTTCTTGGATTCGAAATCTTGGGTGGAAAACTGATTACTATTCAAAAGAGGATGTGGATGGGTTGGTTGGAAATAGCTCCTGATATTTGGGTTCAAATTCATTCTGGCGTTATTTTCCAAAGTACCATTAGCTGGCTGAATAGCTGAAAATATAGAGAATTCCAATCTCCAGAATATCAAACTAACCTTGATGATCGACTTCTTTATTACCGATTCCTCCACTCTTTTGGTTTGAAAACTGATGATTGGGCAGCCCATTCAAACCTCCTTTGTCTTGTAGAACCGGCTGCGCCTGAGGAACCGTTTGCTCGTTTTCGTCATCACTTGTGAGGTCCACAAAAATAGGCCCTCGTTTGAAGACCATTGGAAGATGTTGTCGGTTGCCCACTAGTTGGTTCTTATTACTTTGATTCAGTTGGTCGTATTGATTACCTAGTACATCATGGTATCCAATACGTTGATGAGGATGAATCAATTGGCTTGTTTGATCAATTGAATGGTTCGCTGATGCAACGTGGAATTGATGAGCTGAATTAATATTTTCAGAGAATTCGTCCTGAAGTCAACTAACCATTATGAAAATGAACATTGCCTCTAAAATTTCCATTCTGCCCACAGTTCTTCACCACTTTACTTGTGCCTCCAGGATAACCTTGATGCTTTTCTAAAGCTCCATATGGTGGAAATTGGTATCCATTATGTGCATTCGCACTTGTGGTTATTCCATTGGTTTGATCAAAATGGCAAACTTGGGGAATGGAATTCTGAGTAGCAACGTTGTTGTTGGATCTCTGGATATGTTCCGAAGTCATGTTAGGTTGATCAATATTTATTGGGAAGTTATCTTTGTTAGCCAAGAATTGGCCACAATTATTTTTACTTGCTTCTGGATGCTGATGATGTACGTGAGCAATATGAGTTTGCGAGGTCAAGAAACCTTGATGTGCCATCAATTGATTTTGCGAATCTAACCCGTTAGGAATATGGTTTGGCTGAACATTACCATTGTTGAATTGATTGGGCAAACGCTCTATTTGGTGAAATTTTAGCCATGAAGAATGTGGATTCATCACAAAGTTTTGGGTCTGAAAGGGAGGATGATTCTGAAGAATTTTAAGATTATATTATAAAATAATGTGTGGAATGTCTCAATCTCGATTCTCGATGTACCGTAATCACTTTAATAGAAGGCCACCCCTTTAAGTATCAAAACTATTCTCAACAGCATTCATCGTTGGATTCACTTCTGACTAACTGAAAAATCAAGAATACCGTATTTCCTCTAACAAAAGCCAACCGAAACTGTCAACTTTGAGCCCAATGATCTCAATTGCTGTGAACAATATGAACAAGTTGTCAACTGATAAAATGTTGGTGGTATTATGATAAGTAATTTATCAGTTGACAAAATGTTAATATCTTTCCTAAAAATCGCAATGATTAAAGCTGACAGTTTACGGTTTGGGTGGGGCGGGCTTCTATTATAGAAATTACGGTAACTCCAAAATGATAAGAGAGTCCGAAAGCCAAAAAAAAAAGAGTTTGAATCAGTCTCTCCACTATGTATTTGACTATACACACCTCCTTCCAAGTTAGCCAACAAAAGCCCTCAAAGAGTTCCGACTTAATTTTATAACCCAATTATAAGCATCTCATAGTGACTCATGACATTCGCCGACAAGCAGTCGGCTTACCTTTTCAACAGTAATGTGAAAGTGATAAGGAGGTCATAAATCCTAAGGTTAGGGTTAAGAACAAGGCGCTGGCTATCCGGAGCTCAATTTATTAATTACCGAATCGGAGCTGTATCTGACTTTTATAGACACGTTCCAATAGTTGAAAATCTTGAGCTCTCGAAATCTTTGTATCGAGAAAAATCATGTTCAGTGAAAATTACATTTACTTAGAAGAAGGTATTACATTTAGGAAACCATGATAGGGCGATTAATAAAAATAACAAATGGAAAATTGAGTGAGGGATACGGTAGGAGAAGAAATGGGTAAGAGAAGAAGAGGATCCATTTCGCATCAGGTGGTAAGCAGTTTTTTCGTATGATAACAAAAATGAAAAAAAAGAGGAACAATCGAATAAACATGTGTCTGTTCCAATCTTCTGAGAATACAATCAGATAATGAGTTGGCGTCGACGACTTCCAGCTGACATGTGGTAGTAAAACTTTGCTCATTATCTTGATTTTTATCTGATCGATTTTTGTAAGAGATTGAACAAGATATGATCAGCTTTAATCTGGATTGTATCTTAATTCACAAGATTCATAAGATTCAGATTAGATCATGTTTCATAAATTGTTGTACTGTTTTCTTGGTTCCACCTCACAAAGGCACAAAATGATAAAGATTGCGGACCAACTTTCACGAACTCAGTGTTTCAGATTTTGAAAAATTTTAGAGTTTTCTGTTTTGAAAATGATTGAGTTTCAGGTGTTTTCTGTAACAGATTTTTGTGTTATCTGAATATCGAGACCTCAGAATTTCAAGTTTTCAGCCAACAAATAAAGGAGGGTTTTATTATTATTTAAATGCATTTAAATCATACATAAAAGTAATGAACAATAGTGTCCAGAAGAAACTAAAAGAAACAAGAGCGACATTAAATATGAAGTCCCGGATAAAATAAAAAAAAATTACTGAACTTTCATACAGATTATAAACTTCTGAATCCTAAAATCTACTTTTGAAAGACTCGAATTTCTAGCTTGAAAAAGTAATGGGAATCATTAGAGGAACAGTCAATTTCTGTGAACAAAAAGTTTGACATGGTAACCATCAGCCATAAGAAACGCTCTTTTTCCGTCCGTGATTCGCTTTATTTCAACAAAACGTTCGTCGAGATCAAAATCCTCAGGGAAAAAACCAACATACCTGGAATATTAAATTGTAGGAAATGAAATTTGTGATTAAAAAACTTAAATACATACAGTAACACACTAATACATACAGTATATACATATAGTAATACATACAGTAAAAATAGTAGAAAAAAACAATTTATGATTAAAAAACTTTCCGGTGATCCGGATTGACGTTGGTTTTTCGTTGACTTCCGTTATCCTTCATCATGTTGTCGTGGTCCATCATCTGTAGTCGATTGGCTTGACAATTGGGACGTGGATCAAAAATCACACCCTTCTTCCATAGCTTTTTGATGGAACTCATAAAGAATTGACAAGTCTTTGGGGACCCATTCTTGTACAATTTTGATTTTTGAGAATTCGAAAAATCTCAAAATTTTCGTTTGAAAACGTTTCCCTTTTTCTCTTCCCCATGTTCTATGATTCTCCCAACCCAATTCCCAACAATTACCTCGTTCCCAAGCGGAAGCTCACACATCTTTTTCTCACAATAAGTCATAAATTTCGTCAAAATGTGCGGGATTTTCAAACAAAAGTGGTTTTGAAATGTCAATAGAGATGTCAAACTTATGAGTACTCTCATTCTCTCCTCCGGGTGGTCGATAGAATAAGAAGAAGAAAGAGAAATAGTTTTGTGGGTGCGAGTGGTCCTTCTTTTCTCCATCTTTCTCCTACCTGGTTATCCCTTCCAAATTGCCGCGACCATCACCAACTGACGTCTCTATGATCAACAAGTCGTGTGTGCTAACCGAATGTATTTTATTTTGTTTCTCTCTATTCCCTCTCTCTTTTTCTGGTCCCAACTGATGCATTACAGCGATTTTTATTAACTGCATTGACCGGGATGTGTGAAAATTGTTCCTCTCTCACTGATTTTGTTTTTATTATTGGAGACTGTTGAGATATAAAAAATACCAATCTTTTTACCTATTGTCTATCAGTATCAATTCTTGTGTGTGTGTGTTCTGGAATTTTTGAGAGAAATCGTATTGTTTATTTTGCAGGTTAGCTAAAAAAAAACTATACAAAAGGTGGAACATTTGCTGTATCAAAAAAACTAATAAGGAAACATTTTTATAGAAAACAAATAATTTTGGAAAAATATCATTTTGAAAATCAAATCTTGCTCGTCCTAGTCTTGCTCAAAACTGCCCTGCGTAAAAATTGATACCGTAAAACCTGTAATAGAAGGCTCCCTAACTTTGAGCCGGTTTTTCTGGCTTCTTGTCAGAGATACAAAAAATTGGTCAACTGATAAATTGTTTATCATAATAGCATAAACATTTTATCATGTGACTCATTTATGATAACTTGCACAGGAATTGAGATAATTGAGCTCAAATTGAACTACATATAAGGCGCGCTTTTATTATGTAGATAATTTACGGTAGTTCTTGTTCATTCAGACCCTCGTCAAGCTCTTCTCAGAAGGCTTCAAAATAATGTTTCTATCATTCGATCAAACAACTTTTACGTTTCCCAGAATTTCTTTCTTGTTATTTATCTCGCTTCCTTGAATCCTTGAAGATTTATGCCCTTTTTTCATGAAGGTCATAAATCTTCCGGCCCTGCAGTCTCGGAAAATTATCGTCAATTTGTTGATGATTTAAACTTTTCACTGACTTCTTGGCATCTCATATTCAACAGCACAGCAATAATAATATATGTCGTTCGGAATCGTGTTCTGTTCCTATGTTCATTTAGTTGTTACTCCTGGGGATATCTCCTCCTTTTCTTCCCCGATCCTCCTGTCGTAATCAAGGTGTTGTGTAATCCGTGTGCAAAGCAACACAATAAATTATGCGTCCTCATTGCTCAGATCACTTCCCTTTACCCCATTCAATTTTTTTCAAATTCAGAAGAATCGGGTGATTCGAATGCGCACGAACAATGCGACCTCGCAAACTACGACATCGGCCTTCGGATGAGCTCGTTGATATTCGAGAGAGGTACGGTGCAATGGCTCTAGAAAAGTCCGAAAAAAAAATATTTCAGCGTTTGTTATGGAGATGATGGGTAACCTATTTGAGTTCATCTAACACTTTAAGTAGCCTTGGTTCATAAATGAATTCTGTTTTTACCCAAAAACCAAATCCCACAATTTTCAGAGGACTTCCCTGGCTCTTCTCCGTATTCGTCGTCTTATTCCTTCTACTAACGATTCTTTTATTCTATTTTATCTTCACCACTCGAGACGTCTACCTATCTCAAAAACATGCTCTAGAAGAAGAAGAAGGCAAGAAAAAGGAGGCGGCGTCGTTGGTGAAAGAAGAAAGTGAAGAGGACGATGAAACGTGGAAAGAGCAGACGAGAAGGAAAGGAAAAGGCAAAACTCAAAGCAATGAGAATGTTCATGTAGATGTGAGTGAAAGTTTTTCAAATCAGGTCATGACCTAGAAAAAATTAGGCCATGACCTTGAAAAATTATATCATGACCTAGAAAGAATAAGATCATGACCTAGAAAAAATTAGGGCATGACCTAGAAAAAAATTAGGACATGACCTAGAAAAAATTAGGTCATGACCTTGAAAAATTATATCATGACCTAGAAAGAATAAGATCGTAACCTAGAAAAATTATATCATCACCTAGAAAGAATAAGATCGTGACCTAGAAAAAAGAAGGTCATGACCTAGAAAAAAAATTTAGGCCATGACCTAGAAAACAATTAGGCCATGACCTTGAAAAATTATATCATGACCTAGAAAGAATAAGATCGTAACCTAGAAAAATTATATCATGACCTAGAAAGAATAAGATCATGACCTAGAAAAAATTAGGGCATGACCTAGAAAAATATTAGGTCATGACCTAGAAAAAATTAGGCCATGACCTTGAAAAATTATATCATGACCTAGAAAGAATAAGATCTTAACCTAGAAAAAAGAAGGTCATGACCTAGAAAAAAATTTAGGCCATGACCTAGAAAACAATTAGGTCATGACCTAGAAAAATATTAGCCATGACCTAGAAAAATTATATCATGACCTAGAAAGAATAAGATCATGACCTAGAAAAAATTAGGGCATGACCTAGAAAAAAATTAGGACATGACCTAGAAAAAATTAGGTCATGACCTTGAAAAATTATATCATGACCTAGAAAGAATAAGATCGTAACCTAGAAAAATTATATCATCACCTAGAAAGAATAAGATCGTGACCTAGAAAAAAGAAGGTCATGACCTAGAAAAAAAATTTAGGCCATGACCTTGAAAAATTATATCATGACCTAGAAAGAATAAGATCGTAACCTAGAAAAATTATATCATGACCTAGAAAGAATAAGATCATGACCTAGAAAAAATTAGGGCATGACTTAGAAAAAAATTAGGGCATGACCTAGAAAAATATTAGGTCATGACCTAGAAAAATATTAGGTCATGACCTAGAAAAAAATGAGGCCTCGACCTAGAAAAAAACTAGGTCATGACCTAGAAAAAAATTAGGTCATGACATAGAACGGCACAAACTGTCCAACAAAAAAGTAACCTCGCCAAAAGTTCTTCAAGAGAGTGGCTCTCACAAACGGGATATTCAGTTTCAGATAGTTCCGATTGTAAGCCGAAAGACTGGAGAACCAGATAAGCCATCCATACTGACCACCAATGCCACAATACTAGTGCTTCTGAACTCGACCAATGCTCCTGTAACAACCAAAGCTTCACCTACGAAACATACAACCACCGAAGAGGTGCGATCTTTCGAATTACCTTGAAAGCTGGGAAGCAAAAATAATGCTTTATTTTCAGCCAACCACAACTTCCACCACTACACCTCCTCCTACAACTACTACAACGCCATTGACCACGACCACGACTACAGAGAAGCCGACCACAACTACTCCAACCACTACCACAACTTCAACCACTACCACCACCACTACCACCACCACCACTACGACAACTACCACGACAGAAGCACCGACGACGACTACAAGTGTAGTGACAACGCAGCCTATGATACTCGAAGAAGCTACGACTACACCTGATGAGTACTTGGATTCAGATGAATTGACCCAGGCATCAGCGTCAGAGGAGTCTGATGAGATGACAGACTTAACTTTGGAGCTGGAGGAGGATATAGGAGATGTGCAGGTGGAAGAGTATGAGGAGACAACGATGGCTCCGACGACGACTACAACACCAGAACCAACCATGACACCTTCTGTAGACCCTATCGTCACTTCTTCTCCAGACCTACTTACCACTCCGGAACCGAGAAACCTTACGAGAATCATATGGGATCGTCGTCCAGTGAGAAGCAGATCAGAGAAATTCTCCAAGTTCGCTATTATCACTCATCATCAGGAATGTAGTGACATTGGAAAGTGAGTCTTACAAAGTTTGGAAATTCCAAAGAGTCCATGTTTTTAGAAAAATTTACGAATCTGGTGGTAACGCTATCGACGCAACCATCGCTTCAGAATTCTGTATCTCTGCAGTTCATCCACATTCAACTGGACCTGGATTTGGCGCCGTCATGTTGGTGCATTCCAAGTAAGTTGATTAGCTGTCTCTAGCAGTGTGTGTTTTTTCGAATGGCATTTTTCGAAAACGGCTGATTTTGAACTTCTTCAAAACTTTGTTTGAAAGAACTTAACTTTCGAACCATTAAAGTTGGTGGCCTAGAAAATTCAACTTGCAAAAGTTAGGACACCATTTTAAAATGGCCCAGAAAGCACACCATGGGAATATCAGACAATTTCTAGTTCATTTATTATAGTGGCCTAAAAACTCGGCTTGCAAAAGTTAGGCAACCGTGCTAAAATGGCCTAGAAAACACATCAGGTGCATGTTAGACCATTTCTACACCATCAACTACAGTGGCCTAGAAAATCATAAAAGCACATTCTTACAAGATAATTCCAGAAAGAAGAACGGAACATTTGTGATAGACGGAAGGGAGCGTGCACCCAAAACTGCTAACCAGAACACCTTTGTAATCAACCCAACAATTGCTCACATTGGATATTCTTCAATGGGAGTCCCTGGATGGATATCTACTCTTTGGACAGCCTATAAACAGTTTGGAAGTGGAAAAGTCTCATGGAAATCGCTGATAGAGCCAACTCTCGAACTATCGAAAAGTGGCAGAATTCGAGTGGATAGAGTACTCTCACAAGCTTTTGATTCCAGAAAAAATCATGTTCTCCATGAAAGAAGTTTCGGGAACTTTTTGAATCAGACTTCAAGAGAAGGCGTCGTGCTTCGGAATCTGGAATATGAAGATTTTCTGAAACAACTCAAAGAATCAGTACATGCGGAACATGATTTCTATGGAGGACATTTTTCGAAGACTATAGTTGATGAGATGAAAAGTAGAGGAGGACTGATATCGAGACACGACTTGGAGACCTACAATTGCATTGTGACAAGAGCCGAGACGTTGAAAGTGGGAGATCAGTTTGTAGCCGGGCCCCATCTACCGTACCACTTTCCGATTCTAAAGAAGGTCTTCCAGAACATCACAGGTAATTTTCATCATTAGAGATTGACTCAAAATTTTAGAAAGCTTCAGATTCCTACTCTTCCAACCCTGAAAGCATCCTGGAGTACTATACCGATTTTGTGAGACTTCTTCAAAAAGCCAATCAAATGAAGTCTTTCGTTGGTGATGATCTATTCGAACCTGAAGTCAAGCCGAAAATAGAAGAATGGATAACGCCTCCAGAGTTCAAACCAGGAGAGCAAGTAGAATCACAACAACAACAAGTAAGCAAAAGCAGAAGGAACACCCAAACCGCCAACTTTGAACTCAATTACCTCTTTCGTATAAGAGATATCAAAAATGTGAAAACTGATAAAAAATTGATGATGTTATGATAAACAGTTTATCAGTTGACAAAATTTTTGTATCTTTTATAGAAATCGAGATAATTGAGCTTAAAGTTGAAGGTTCGAGCGGCTTCTCTTACAGAGGCAATTTTTCTTTTTTATTCTCTTCACAGGAGTTGAGATAATTAAGCTATATTGGGGGACATACGGTAATTGTTTTTTTTCAGAGAAAACAGGTTCCATTCTCTCGAATTGTGAGCACTGATGAGGAAGGCAACGCTGTAAATTTCATGTCAACTAGTGGAGTTTCGTAAGTTCTGTGCTAAGGTTTCCATTCGGTCAGGAAATTCGGTCAATCGACCGACCGCCGACCCAGACGACCTACAGCCGACCGAGCTGACTGACTTCGTGCATTTGCACGTCAACATTCCAGAGAGTGTTTGCGTACGTAGCAATGTTGACGCACAAATGCACGAATTGGCTCGGCTTGGTCAGCGGTCCGACCGAAACGAAAGCTTTATTCTGTGCATCTTGAAACACGCTTTTATTAAAACTTTTTAGCTGGGGTTCAGTACGACGAAGTGCCACACTGGGATTTGTCTGGAACAACGCGATGAGCTCATTTGACGTCTTCTGTAAACATGAAACGAATTGTGTACGCGGAGGAAAACGGCCAAGTGTGACGAATGGGTTTCCAACGATTCTCTTGAGTTCTGAAAAGCTACCACAGCTTCTGATATCGCCCACTGCGAACCCGTTGGAGACAACAGCAGCGATGGTATTGCAGGCAACTGTCATGAATATGGTAAAGAAATCAATTAAGTAAATTTTCTTTAAAATTCTTTCAGCTCCCTCTGATTTCGCTGGACCATCCCCGAATCTATCCCCAATCCATTGACCAAGTAATCGTGGAAACTGGTATTCCCGAACAACTCTACCGTACCCTCTGGACAGATTTTCGTGCTCAATTCACTCATCCAACCAGTCCAATTACTCTCCTGCATCTGGATCCGACTGCTGCTGAAAACTCAAAAGTGGAAGCTCTCTGTGACTATCGCCAAAACACCAAAATCTGCTATCCAAGTGGTACTTGAGCTGGAAATCTTTTCTGGTAGAACTTCTTTTTTTATATTTTTTATTTTGTTCATTACGGTGTTGAGTCAACAACGGGTCCTTCTGATTTCTTAAATATTTTTTGTTTGTTCTCGGATAAAGTTGTTTTTCTTTTGTTTTTTTCCAGAGAACATTTATCTACAAATCTGATTTTCTCTATAAAAAATAATTTTCAAAAACTGTATATATATATATAAGCGAGAAGTGGTGCTTCTGATTAGGCGTCGAAAGAGAAATTAGTGAAAGCGCGACTGAACAAACAAAAGATGAAATAGATATGAATGAATGAGAGTGATCACAAACAATACACTACTGTGAGATAGAGTCAGAAAAAGAGAGGCAAGAAAAAACAAGGGTGTGTAAAATTTAGATCAACTGACCACTACAATTTCTATTGTTGTTTTTTAAACAGAGTGCTTACAGTTTCAATTGAAAGTAAACCTCAAATTGAATCCGTCCTTTTTGAGTTCATATAACTCATTTCCCCTGGAAGATATCAACAAAAGGTTAGCAAATAAAATGTTGCTGATTTTATGATAAACATTTTGTCAGTTGACCACTTTTTGATATCTTTCACAGAAACCGAGATAAACTGACTCAAAGTTAAAAGTTAAGGGGGTCGTTCTATTAGAGTGTTTATGGTATGTCTCTTGCCAAGAGACTCTTGGAAGTGGTGCTGCCCATAACTATGATAATTTTGGTTTCCATCAGCTTTGAGCTCAATTATCACACTTTCTAGGAGAGAGATCAAAAATTTGTCAACTGATAAAATGTTGGTGGTCTGCTGTTTAATAATTTATCAGTTTAAAATTTTGTGATATCTTTTACAGGAAGCGAGATAAATTGACTCAAAGGTGAAAGTTAGGTAGATAATTCTATTAAAGTGTTCACGGTATTTCAATATTATGTTCCAGTGGTCAAGATAACTAGAAAAACGTTCCATGTTGTTTGATAAATCATGCGACAAAATTTAAGAAGTCTCTCGCACTCCAAGGTCACCTGATCTGTTCCGATAAGATCTCAAAAATCGAGAGTTGTTGATGACCAAAGTTTGTGTAGCGAAAGGCTACAGTAACCCAAAAGGACATACTGCTTCAAAATCTATCACGAGGCATGTGTTCAGGAGCTCTGAAATCGCGCTACCGCATTTCCTCTAATAGAAGCCCACCCAAACCTTAACTTTAAGCTCAATTATCTCGATTCACATGAAAGATATCAAAAAGTTGTCAACTGATAAAATATTTACCATAATATCACCAATATCTTATCAATTAACAAATTTGCAATATCTTTAACAGGAATCGAGATAATTAAGCTTAAAGTTGACAGGTTGGTTGGGCTCCTATTTATTCTCGTTTGATCAGGTCTTTCCTTTCATTTTCAAAATATCAGTCTTCTATAGCATTCTTAATCTTCCAAATCTTCTGCACTCTTTTCTACTAGTCTTTGACATTTTCAAGATCAAAAGAGGGCCCACCCCCAGACATCCTTCTATTCTCCTCCTTTTTTTTTCATTTTTTTTTTCGTTTCTTTGCATTTTTGCACCCTCTCCCTGCTACTCATCACGTGACTGGAGCACAGAGCGTCTGCCCTTTCCATCCGCTCCCTGTTTTGTTTCTTTCTCTCTGTGCCCTTCCACACTATTTCAGTATTAAAACGTGCGCCGCACAGCTGAGAGAGAGAAAGAGCCTTCTGCTTCTCTAAATTCTCTCTTTTTGAAGAAAGTATACACGGCTGCATACATACATACATGTTTTCTGTCCTTTTTCCCCCTGATTTCTACGTCTCTTCCTCTTCTCCTTGCTTCTCGCCATGCCGTCAGTTTCTCATTCTCTCGGTTTCCAATTTTATCGGTTTTTGTGTTGCTGTGTATATCTGTTTCTATATATTATTACACACTCCTCCTCCCGCCAAACACAGAGAGCGACAAAAAAAGGAGACACTCTTTTTTTTTGATTGACACTTCCTCCCTTTCTTGCCCTTTTTTGTTTACCTTTTACTTTCACTCCGCAAGAGGTCAGATGATCTTTTCTTGTTGTTTTTTCCGCATTTCTGATCAGGCTGGACTTCCAATTTTCAGATGATTCGGCAGGAGCCGAAACTCCACTTCCTATATCCAAATGTGGATCTGAACGCCTTCTGTCAACCCGAGCCAGTATGTCAGGAAGTGGATTTTGTTGCTTTTGAGGATATCCATGCGTAAGTTTTTTTGATGATGGACTGGAAGTAGGATGATCTTGTCATCCGGAAGTTGGAAAAGGGGATTCTAATCATATCTTAATTGCTCTAATAGAAGACCGCCCAATTTTGACCTCAATTATCTCGGCTCCTTCAAAAGATATCAAAAAATGTTCAACTGATAAGTTATTTATCATGATATCACCAATATTTTATCAGTTGACAAATTTTTGATATCTCTCACAAGAACAGAGATAATTGAGCTACGCAGTCGCACCCTTCTCACCGACTTTAGAACACCACCCGTATTCTATATTTGAGCTCAATTCTTTCGGCTCCTTTAAAAATTATTTAAAAATGTTACACTAATATATTATTTATTATAATATCACTAATGTTTTATCAGTTGAAAATGTTTTGATAACTATAACAGGAACCGAGATAATTGAGCTCAAAGTACACGTATAGGGTGGGCTTCTGGGTGGGCAGGGTCGGTTACGGTAGGTGCAGACCAAGATGGACGCAGAGAAAATTTATAACATGAGATTTCTAAAAATGAAAACAAAAGAATATTTTATGCGATTCTCAGACTCGGTGTTTCCGAGACAAAGTTCTCAATTGTGAAGAAACTTTTTGTGTAATGATCTTTGATGTTCTCCACATCAGATACTCTGACCTTTGGCTAAGCTTTGGAAGAAATTGTTGTAATCTTTGGTATAACCAAACTAATTTCCAGCAAATGCATTCTCCGAATCGACAAGAACGCAGACTTGGAAATTCGTTTGCGCCGTGACGGACCAACGGCGGATCACTGGCTGGCCAGAGGACTCATGAAAATTGTCCTCTGGAATGCGCAATTCGAAATCGACGGCGCCTATCCAGCAACGTTTTGCAATGAGAAACCATTCCAGCTTATCGATCTGATGAGCAGAAAAGCGCTTCGCAAGGAAATCGGTGATGACATTTTCAACGTAGAAATCTCGATAAAATTCGACAAGTGGGAGGGGTTGAAGGTGATGAAACTGTTCCAATTTGACCATCGATACCTAGATTCTAACCTGAATTTGAGTGTTCAAGGGGTGGATTTTTACGTTAGATCGAAGGTGGGTTCGTTGACAAGGTTCATCTGAATCCGATCTTTTTGTAGACTTTGTTCAAAGAGATCCCAGGATTCCGTCAGTATTTGGAAATGAATTTCGAGCCTGGAACCAAAAAGTACGAATTGACCGAACTACAAGGAGAGAAGAGTGTTAACGCATTCAACACTATGCTTCAGTTGGCCTTCAGATGCACTTTCATCACAAACAGTGAGTTGAAAATTTACTGAAAAAAAAGTAACGAAAATTGTATTTTTTTTTCAATTTCAGTTCATGAGGTTGGAGAGCTTCTCACACTGGCTTATCGCTTCAACTATCCAGCTCTCAAACAAAAATGTGAATGGTATCTTCTCAATGAGCCAGAAACGGATTGGATGCAGAAATTGGTCTTCGCTGATATGTACAACTTAACCTTGCTGAAGCAACACGTCTTCTACAACACTGTCGGTCTAGCCCAGGTTTACAAGAATCTCGACCAGAATCGATTCTTGGAAACTTCCACTCTCCGTACTATTCTCTCAAAATGCTATGAGTTAAAGAAACAGAAACAGTATGAAGATGCTCCATCGACTGGTTGGAAGCCGCTCCGTTTGGCAGAAATCACTGAAAATCGTTGGGGAAGAATGAAGAGGGTCCCATGTGAGACAACTCAAGAACCGGATGTAACTGCTTCGTTTGAGAGATTCGAGACCACTTTTATGCCCAAACATTTTGGAGTTGAATTGATCACTCCAGAATTTTCGTTTGCAGAACAGACTTCCAGGTGAGTTACTTCTCAGTAATATTCTGGTCTAATTTCAATGGGCATTGCGGGCAAAAGTTGGAGGGTGGGTGGAGCTTAAGTTTGGTAGCGAAGTCCTTCAAAGCTCATTTAAAAGAGCATGTATTTTCGAAATTGTTTTCTGGCCTTTTTTTCGATTTTGCGATGAGTGTTATCAATCGTTAATTTTTTATTTGAATCCGATCATAACGACAGAACAAAGTATTAAAAAACGAGGCGGGACCTGAGCTCCGCTCACCCTCGAAATTTTGGTAGCAATTGAAGTTAAAGAAGAGTATTATCATAAAAACTATATACCATAAAAAGTATCTTAATACATTCATTTCAGCCTTTTCTCCTACAAAGTCCAACTTGGTCCGGACCATCGACTCCTTTACAAAATTGAATGGAACAATATTCAAACTGGAAACTTTGTCTGGTCTGTACTCGGAACCGTTCACATTCGCATGAACTACTTGCGAACTGAGAAGTGGGCACATTCGGAACGCGTCCAATTCGATCACGATAACCAATCCATTTTCTTCGATGGTCTCCCAATTCATAAAGTTTTCCCAGGAGGTGTCGAGCATCTTCTCGATGGGCTAGGATGCAATCCAACACTTCCAAAAGTCGAAATAATTGTTGTAGTGGATAAGATCAAGGGTTTGGAGTTGATGCCAGCAATGGAAAGTTTGGAAGCTGTCGAGGAGATGGATGATGAGTGGATTCTTCAACCTTCCAGAACTCATCCTATTGTTTGCTGTGGAAAGTTTCTATATGTGGATAAGGAGGTTAGATACTTAAAGAATTTTGATTTTCAAATATTTTTTTTTGATTTAGGTCCTCCGGTCCAAATCCCGAGTGTTCACCAAGATCTTCCAACAAACTTATGAACCAATCACCATTCCAGTCTCCTTCGATAAGTTCGAAAGCTTTGCGTTGTTCCTTGACATCCTTCACGGAGAAGATGTGAATTTCGACTATCAGAATGTGTTCGGAATTATCGAATTAGCTCGTGCTTACGAAGTAGAAGAAGTTTTGCTGCGAGGAGTCGATTGGGTGGTTGAAGGACCAACTGTAGACAAATTGGAGAAGCTGGAGCTAGCCGATAAGAATTCGGTTCCAGAACTTCAAAAGTACATAACAGATAGTATTGTGGATGTGGACGAGTTGTTTGCAATGTTCAAATATCCCAATCGATTCGAACGTCGGATGCTTCAAATCCTTCAAGATCGTATGATAAACCTCCCGATCCCGTGTGACGAGATGGAGGATCCTGTATAGACACGTTTTAGGTTGAGAACTTTGTTCCTACGAATTTTGTTGTACATTCTGTACTCTTTTGTTACCCATTTCGCATTCATTTTTGCATTTTCCCAATACCAAATTTTTCACCCACCATCCCTGTACAATTCTTCCCCCTGTTTTTCATTTTCAAGCTTTCTTCTTCCCATGAAAAAAATATCCACACCCCGCTGAATCCCAAAAATTCTTTCGTTTTTTTTTCCAATAGATCTGTTTCTCCAGGAATTTCACAAATCAGGAATTTCGTTTCCTCCTCGTTTTTTTCATGATTCGTTTCTCAGGAAATTCGTTTTTCGTCATTTTGCAATGTTTAGAAATTTTGAAGACTGTATAATAAAGTTTAGTTATGTACAGAACTAGTGTGTGTTTTTCGAGAGACACTTTCAAACGGCTGATTTCGGTGCCGTTTAAGCCATCATAGCATGGTGGCCTAGCTTTTGCAAATTGAGTCTTCTAGGTCACCATGAATGACCTAGAAATGCCCTGATATCTAACTGATGTGTTTCCTACGTCATTTTACAGTGGTGGCCTAGAAAACTGAACTTCTGAAAGTTACGCCACCATGTAAAAATTTCCTGGCAAGCCTACCAGATAAATATCAAGTCATTTCTAGGCCATAAAAGTTTGTGACCTAGAACAATTAACCTGCGAAAGTTAGGCCACCATGTTAGAATGGCCTAGAAAACCCATCAGTAAATATCAAGTCATTTCTAGGCCATAAAAGTTGGTGGCCTAGAAAATTAAACTTGAAAAAGTTAGACAACCATGGTAAGTGACCTAGACAACACATCAGGGGCATGTTAGATCATTTCTGGACCAACTACGGTGGCCTAAAAAACTCATATTAAGAAAGTTAGGTCACTGTTTTCCTCACATGAAACCGAAGTGTCCACAATTGCTTTATTGTAAAAACTTTCTAACACATTCAAGATTCTCCAAATTTATGAAAAACATTCGATGAACCCCTGGCTCTGTCCTCGTCGGTTTCAGGAACACATATCGCTTGTCATCTAAAATTTGGAACACGAAATCATGAAAAACTTGTGCACCAAGTGGATGGAATTTCGAATGGATTTCTAAATTGAACTGGCAAATGGTAATATCCTTCTGATCCAGAAGACCTCCACGATAGAATTGATACAGAAACTCGAATTCTCCACCTTCAATGTCTATCCACGCTATATCGATTCTCTGAAGATTTTACTTTGGAAGATTACTTTGGTTGCTCTAATTACTTTCAACTTCAGAATATCTGATAAAAAGTAGGTCAGAGGAATTGTTGTAACATCTTGAAATTCGTAGGTTCCTAAAAATACCATTTTTTCTAAATATATCTTCCTAGACTCACTAGTCTTCTGATTCTGATTTGGCAGCACTCGAAACTTGGTGAATCCTGGTTCTCTTCCAATGGCAAACGGGAAAAATTTTCCGAAAGCAGAATAAAGTTGACGATTGGGTTCAATTATCGGATCGGCACCATAGAAATATGTGTTAGGCAGAGTCTGAAAATCTTGAGATTACCGTTAAACCTGTAATAGAAGGGCCCCCAGACTCTCAATTTTGAGCTCCATTATATCGGTTCTTTTATGAGATTTAAGAAGTATGTCAACAAATAAAATGTTAATCATGTTATTGTCAATATTTTATCAGTTGGCAAATTTTTAATATCTCTCCTAGGAACCGAGATAATTGAGCTCAAACTTGACAGTGTGGAGGCCTTTCTTTAAAATGGGGTTTCGTAATTACCCTATTCAATTTTTCCTCGGCCATTGTGTCATGACCAACTCCAAGTGTAACCATGATGTTATCTTCTTTCTGCAATTTTAAGTACATTAAAAGTCAAGAAGAAGCAGCAAATCAGTTACACAAGTAGGCAGAATGGTCCACTTCGTTTCATGTAAATTATTCATCGGAACGATATCAAGGCTACGAAATACACGGTCACACCATACTGTGTTTTCCCATCTTCCGTTTATCTGAATCGGGTTTTTATAATACCGCCAACTTTGAGCCCATATATCTCGGGTTTCCTACAAGATATCAAAACTTTGCTAACTGTTAAATCATTTACCACAATATCACCTATATTTTACCAATTGAAAAAATTTTGATATCTATCACAGAAACCGAGATAAATTGGCTTGAAGTTAACGATTTGAGAGCGTTCTGGAAGACTCCCACACTGCCCAGTTTGAGCCTGTTTATCTCAGTTCCTGTGAAAGCTATCGAAAAGTTATCACCTAACAAAAACTTTGTTCTAATATCAACAATTTTTTGTCAGTTGACCACTTTTTGATATCTTTAACAGGAACTGAGATAAATTGGCTCAAAGTTGAAAGTTCTATTTGAGTGTTTACGGAACTCACTGCATCCACATTATCTCTCCATCGCTCTACAATCGGATTAATACATTTTTGAAAAGTGTCCATCAGTCTTAAAGTGTCTACACGACTGAGTTTTTTGTCTACAGTTAGATCACAATCCGGAAGCTTCTGGAGTTTTTCAAAACGTGGATCCATAACAACTTTCTTGTTCTGCAACTGTCTCATAAGTGGGAATTAACTTAAAACCCCTAACCTCTTCAAAATGATACCCAATTCCATCTAGCGTATCCCAGACATGACCAACTTCAACTTTTTCTAGAGTTACAGTCTCTGTTTCTACTACCAAAACCTTTTTAGGGTCGTTTGAAGAGAGAACAAAGAGCAGTATGAAAAACAAGAGAACAGTGAAGAACAAAGTATTTGCGGATGATGGTAAAAAGTTTTCTGAAGGTTAAAAATTTGCTTTAAAGATTAGAGATCAACTATACCTCGAAGTCTTATATAGGTCTTCATTGAATACAATCTAGAATAGTGAAATGTTATTGTTTGAAAATTGAATCCATCATTCCTAGCTAGATTTCGACAAATGTGCAAACAACATTTTGGTGGCTCCTTTTTGAATATTCATGAGATAACACTGTCGCACCTTTCTCACAGAAAAATATCGTGAATTATTATGCTGGGATGCAAAAATCTAGGCTGTGGAAAAGAAAATCTGGTGGCCGTGGCCGAAGGTCTCAAAATGACAACTACCGTAACATTAACTAATTGTTGCTTTGCGGATTTATTATCTCGTTTTTCCCTGCTTTTCGTCGGATTTTCTGTTATATTTTCCCAAACAAGTCGGAAAACAAAAAATAGTGGAAAATTTGAAAATAAGAATATTTTTAGGTGACGGTCTTTCTCGTTGTTGGACCTTCGGCTAATTTTTTAACAGGTTTACAAACTTCATAAATTTGCCTTGTTTGCTAGTTTAGGTATCTTTATAACTGCTGAAAGCTAGATTTCCCGAACTGGAAGAGTTGCAGTTTTCCATAAATTCAATGAATTTGATTTAGAAGGAGTCTTTTCTTTTACTGCAAAATTTTAAAACAAATTCTAATTCAATGACTTTCGAACGTCGCACTACAAAGTTTAAATTGAAGCCGATGCATTCAATATCGTCTAATACCCTTTGAAAAGACTTCTCGGCACTTTACCAGGATCATTCTAGTAGAATGTCGTCTCAACATTTATTTTAGATGACAGGAAAAATCGCTTCAGGACGCGCAGCAAAAATTTCTTCAATGCGCCTTGAAACCGAACTCTCATATGCGCTCCTCTTGTCACATTCCCTCGATTCTTTTTTCTCGAAAATTTCGAGTCAAAATAGACTGTATTTTACTACTCGATCGACTAGAAATGACCCAAATAGAAGTTATAGAAGGTGAAAAACATGAAAGAGAGTGAGTTTTAACTTTTATACTTTATTTCTCGATTACCGCGTTTTTTTTCCAGAATCTTCACGTTAGAAGAAGACGTTCAAATCTGGGAATTCCTTCATCGTTTCGCTTACGATGAAGCAGAGCAGATTGCAGAGAAGTTTACAGAACCGCATCCGAATCAATGCAGGAAACTCTGGAGAACGTTCATTAGAGAAACTGATTCCCGACGATCAGTACCGGTTCTGTGTACGAGGTAATTGTACGTGTTACAGAGCGGAACGACTGTGAAATTCTTTATAGATACCGAAAAATGACGAAAAATCTGCACAAAATGCCGTTCGGAACAGAAATGAAGCTGAATCTCTACTATTCGTTGGACATTCCAGTGCCGGAAGAATTCACTCGAGAAGCATGGCGTTTTGCAAAGATAACGTTGAACAAGGACAGTCTCGTCGAAGAGTTTGAAATGAAGACTGACGAGGAAGTTAGGAGAGATAGCGAAGAAGAATATCAATTGATGGAAGGTCTTGTGAAGAAGAAAATGGAGAAAATTGAGAAAGAAGAATGTGAAAAATTGCAAGAGCAGAGAAGACAGAATTGGCGAAAAAGGAAGGAGAAAAAACAGCAAGAAGCAGGAGCTACCATTGCCGAAGTTACTGTTGATGTTCTTCCGTTTCCTCCAAAGAAACGTCTCTCTACCCAGATGTTACAAAACGAAGTGACCGCTCCTCCCTCCAAACGCCCAAGAGTCTTTTATAGCGTAGAGGATGACGTCAAGTTGTGGACTCATTTGCTTTCAAAAGTCAATAGTGATCATGAACTGAACCCGAAATCCGCTAAATTTTGGAAAGAATTTCTAGGAGCAAATGCAGAGAAAATCATGGAGCGCAAACTTGCCTACCAGTGAGTTCCAGTTTTAAATTGTCAATAAATATGCATTCACTTTCTATCAGCTATGGCAAAATGACGAATAATCTACACAAGATGCCATTCGATATGCGCATGAAAACTGTCCTATATTATGCACTGCACATTCCCGTTGAGTCGAAATTCCTCGAACTGTGAGAAATCGTATCTTTTCAAAGAAAATTCTGATTTTTTCAGCTTAAAAAGCAAGACGGATGTCACAATCGATGAAAATGGGTGCATTGTGGAGTACAACTCGTTCGAGCTCCCAGAAGAAGCCGAGCGAATTCCTACGACGAATCAACGAACCAACGAGCCAGTAGACTCGACATTTATTGAGAATTGCCTGTACTATTTATCAGCCTACTATATAAATGAAATGTTGTACTCTTTTCTTCTTATTTAGTTTATTTTCTCTTTTGTTGTTCAGCCGTTTACTGATTATTTCTGGGAGCTTCAGGTGGTAAGCAGAGATGTTCGGAATTCCAAAAATTCCGACCATTTTCGGAATTTCTCCGTTCACTTTTTCGGGTTTAGAGGTTTTTGAGATACTGTATGTCAATGGCGCACACGAAACGATTGCATGTGGGTCTCGAGCGGAATTATTTTTCATACTTGCATTCTTTTTGTCCATTTTCCACCAATTTTCGGCTTTTTTGGGATGCGAAAATGAGATTTTAAATTTTGAAAATGGAAAATTTTAGAGATTCCGAAAATTCGAAAATTTTGAAAATCGGAATATTCCGAAACACCGAAAACTTCAAAATTTGAACATTCCAAAATTCCGAAGTTTCTGAAAATCGGAAAATACCGAAAAAGACTATTCCGAACATCTCAATGAACATCTCACCCATCACAATGATTGCGTCTTTAAATTGAAAATATAGAGAAACAAACAAAAATTCACTTTTCAGATGGGTGCAGTCCGGACGGCAATTACTCTTTGACTACACCACTCTTTGACTACACCTACTCTTTGACTCCACATTCTCTTTGACTACAAAGCCTCTTTGACTACATTTATCTCTTTGACTACACTTGTCTCTTTGACTACACTTTTTTGTTTTATAGTACTTTTTGACTGAATTTATTGGAGTTTCCGATTTTTGTCTCGAATTGTAGGCTTAGGCTAAAACACCAGTTTTCCGGTAACCGTTTCAGCCTAAGCCTTTGATTTGTACAGAAAATAATAAAAATTTGGAAATATCAGCGAAAAAAAGTGAGAATTTTGCTGACTTTCGCGAATTTCAGTACTTTTTTCACTGTGATGTATTTTGGAATTGTCAGTTTTTTGTTTAAAATTATAGGCTTAGGCTCAAATTCTTCTTATATTCTGTGAGAACGCCCACAAAAACTGCAGAAAATTTTAAAATTTTAAAAAGTGTAGTCAAAGAGACTTTGTAGTCAAAGAGAATGTGGAGTCAAAGAGTAGGTGTAGTCAAAGAGTGGTGTAGTCAAAGAGTAGTGTAGTCAAAGAGTAATTGCCGTCCGGACGGATGTCTCTTTAATAGACTCTCGCCGAATCTCGCTGTTTTCATAGACAATTCGATTTATGACGATGTGGGTAACGTTATCAAAAATGCGTTGGATCTGGGATCACTGCAAGTGTGGAACACCATCAAACAATCGCTGCGACTGAAGCACACGGCAGAAGTACTACGAGATCAGTATGAAGCTAAAATTTTCGTTCAAATTTCCTATTTACTACTTTTAAGCTTCAAATGTGTCATGCTTCCATAGTTTGATACATGGTCGTGCGACTTCGATCGGCGGTGTGATTTAGTGATTTCTCTGGGTATTCCAATCGATCTTCTGATCAAAGTCTGTGACAAGCTGAAGCCATTGAGGCTCAGTGAACCTGCAGAAGTCGATTTGAGAAGTTTAATGATCTGGAAGTTCTTATTCTACCTCTTGCATAAGTCAATACATCCCGACGAAGCCAAATCCAGGTGGAAAGCGGTGTCAGAAGGAGACATCAGTCTGGAAAGGTGAGGATTTCTTGTTGTCCTGCTATTCAAAAGTATTCTTTTTTAGTTTCGAAGAAAGCTCTGAAAAGCTAAAGAATATGCCGATTCATCCCGAGGACAAGCTTTTTCTGATGCAAAAGTTAGGAATATGCGGCAGTTCTGGATTTCTGTAAGTCTTTTTTTCTAATGCGATCAGTCTTAATTCGAATTTTCAGAAGTCCGACTGTTGAAGCTGAAGAATCTACTGAAACAGGAAACGTGCCCGATTCGCAACCTTTTCATAATAGGATTGTAAAGAAAGAACTATTTTGGCGTTCGGAGCAATCCGAAGAGCGGATGTTCTTCTCTGAAAGTATGGACTTTGAGGAAATTATCAAAGCAATGATGCCGCTTCCAAAATTCTTTTAAAAATTACTGATAACTTCGAAAAATTAGCGGGTTCTTGCAATTTTTTGAAAGAAAAATGAGTCTTAAAAAGGCCTTTTAGGTTACGGTTGTTGTCGTTGTGGGACCTCTTCCACAGCCGTTTTTATGTGAATTTTTGCAATTTCGGATTTTTGGGAAAAAAATTTCAAAGTTTATGAAAATAATTGAAAAATCGAACTTATCATGACCCGATGCGATTTTTGTCACTTTTCCGATTTTTGTGAAAAAAAGGCCTTTTAGGTTACGGTTGTTGTCGTTGTGGGACCTCTTCCACAGCTCCTGTTTTCAGCTATTTTTAAAGACTTTTTTTTTGATTTTTTGTGAATTTTTTGTTTGAAATTTGATGGGGTGGTGTTCGTGAGGATTACTGTAGATTACTGTAGAAAATGAATTTTCTTGTATTTTGTGCTTCTTTTTTTAACGGTTAGTAGGATTTTTACAGTTTGTAGCCCTGAAAAACGCGATTTTAAGCACTAACGATTCGAAAAATTCATGAAAAATTAGCGATTTTTTTTGCGAATTTTCGAAAGAAATATGTATTTTTTCTTCAATTTTTTGCAAATTTTTAAAAACTTTTTTAGAGTTTTCAGCTATTTTCACGGATTTTTTTTCGATTCTTCCGGTTTTTTCGTCTGAAATTTGCTGGAACGGTGTTCGAGAAGATTACTGTAGGTTACTGTAGAAAACTTATTTTCTCTTGTAGTATTTTTGCAAGTTTTTTTTCTGCATGACGTGGCTTCTATAGTAACCTACAGTAATCTCCGCAAACACCGTCCCGTCAAATTTCAGACAAAACTTTCGGAAAAAAAAGCAAAAATGTCTAAAAAATTTGCAAAAAATCAAAGAAAACATCCTTTTTTCATTCGAAAATTCGCAAAAAAATCGCTAATTTTTCTTGAATTTGTCCAATTTTTTGTGTTTCAAATCGCGAATCGAAAGCCTTGAGGATCTGAGCGTCACTTTGGACTGCTTTCTGGGCTCAGGAATTCCGGATCTGGGAATTTTAGACGCCGCATTACAAGTGTATCCAAATACAGTACATTTTTATAGACTAGTCCGAATATAAGCCATAACGAACATCCAATTGATCCTCCACATACATCGGAAGCGTTGCCTTCAAGCGTCATGGATCGTCGAATCAAAGAAGAACGTTTTGTTTCGGAATATGACGATCACGGAAGAGAGGAGGAAGTAATGGATGATTCTACAGAACTGCGTCAAAAAGGAAATCGTTGAGAATCTTTTCAAAACGCCTCGACGGACAGCAGTATGTAGACCAAGAAAAGATAATCCGATCAGAATGGCGATCAAGGATCAAGTCGTTCATTCTGAAAATGTTAATTCGAAGAAATAGGAAACATCCAAAAAACGAGAAAAAATGAAATTCACTCGGAAGGAGGTGTACAAAATGTGGAGATTCGTGAACAAGAAGATTCGAGTTCTTTCCGGAAGACCTCAGAAAAAAAAGTTCGAGTCCAGTTGGGCTGATTGGAAACAGTTCACAGGGAAGATGGGATTGGAAAGAAGTTCAAATTCGTATAAACGGAAGTTTTCACAGTTAGAAATTTTTAAAGCACCATTCAGCAAACGGACAAGGCTGGAATTATACTATGCTCTGGATGCTCCAATTCCTCCTGATTTTCACCATCTGTAAGTAAATTATCTATTTCTGGAAAACCTGTATTAGAAGGGCTGGACCTTTTTTTCGGCGAATTCTCGTTCAAAAATTAATGAATTTCTGCAGTAGCCTACATTAATCTCCGCGAACGCCGTTCAGAAATGTCAGTCAACAAATAATCGTCAATTTTTCATGAATTTTCGAATCGTTAGTGCTTAAAATCGCGTTTTTCAGGGCTACAAACTATAAAAATCCTTCTAACCGTTAAAAAAAAGAATCACAAAATACAAGAAAATTCATTTTCTACGGTAATCTACAGTAATCCACGAACACCACCCCATCAAATTTCAAACAAAAAATTCGGAAAAAATCGAAAAAAAAGTCTTTAAAAATAAACAGGAGCTGTGGAAGAGGTCCCACAACGACAACTACCGTAACCTAAAAGGTCTTTTTTCTCACAAAAATCGCATCGGATCATGATAAGTTCGATTTTTCAATTATTTTCATAAACTTTGAAATTTTTTTCCCAAAAATCCGAAATTGCAAAAATTCACATAAAAACGGAATTTATGGAAAAATCGAGAAAAAATAGGCCAGAAAATAATTTTTTTTAATGCTCCTTTCAAATTTTTTTCAACAGAGACTGAAAACGCACGAAAATCGAGAGACTAATAATATTCTTAGGTTACTGTAGTTGTCGGATCTTCGGCCACGACCACCGGCGTTCCTCTTCCCCAGCTCCGAATTTTTTGGAAATTCTACTTTCAGAGTCGTTAGAAACTATTCATTGAAACTCGATTCGGAGGGAAGATTAAAAGAATGCGACTCTGAAAAATGGGCGGAGATTTCCCAATCCGACGACGAAGAGAGTAGCAGTGATAATGAGATAAGCGATCCAGATGAGGAGATTCAGAAGACGAAGGACACTTTGAGCCAACTTTCACTTATTCTGAAACTCATGAAATGTGGAATTTTATTTTGAACATTGTTCGGAAGGAGCGTTTCAAAACTGGAAAAACGCAAAAATTGGATCTGCTTCCAGATCAAATAGATTTCTGGTTGGAATTTGACAAAACAGTCGGACCGGACAGAAGTTTGAGCACATTGGCCACCCAGTGAGTTTTATGCCGGAGCCGTAGAAGAGAAAACTCGGTGGTCGTTGCCGAAGGTCCCAATTACCGTAATCTGAGAATGTATTCATTTTTCAAGGTTTATTTTCTCGATTTTTGTTCGTTTTCAGCCGGCGAAAACCAGTGTAAAACGGGAAAATAAATCCAGAAAGTAAAATTATTTTTAGGTTACTGTAGTGGGATCTTCGGCCACGGCCACCGGCATTTCTCGTCCACAGCTCCGATAAGACTAAAAATACAAATTTCTTTCAGCTTCCACTTGAACATGAGTTGAAAATTGAGCTCTTCTCGATTCGATCCCGAAACTCTAGCCAATCTTTACTATTCTCTAAACATTCCTATCACTTTGGATTTCTACAATGAGTGGGTGCTTATTTGAATTACTCCAGAAATTACATTAAGTTTCAGATTCAAAAAAAGTGGCAACTGTCCAGCTTGAAGATCGCGATGACGGAATACCATACATCGAGAACTATTATTATAACGATGGATCCGTTTTCCGGGACGGTTGGTCCGATTTGTTACTGATTGAAGAATAAGAGGCAGCCGAAACTGTTAGGAACTCTGAGAAGATAAAATCATAGAAAAAATAGTTTTATTATCATGTACAATCATAGTCATTGTGCTATCATTATTGTTTTTAATTGTTTCCTGTAGATTCTAGAAACCCATCATAGCCAGTGTCGCCTCCATCATCATCTTGACCTTGCTAATTGGGATTTTCTGAAATGAAACACTCTTGTTGATAGTTGATATACAGTTCTTACATAATTCCCTTCCTTCGATTCCTCTATTGCTTTTTCCAATTTCAATTGAACACTTTCCAGCTCCGGAGAGTCGATTTTGGCGACCAGCGTGTTCAGAGATCTCAAATATGTGACTGTTTCTACATTAGATGGTCTGTCAGCTTCCTGTTTGGCTTCCACAGGTGGTTGAGCACTGAAATATAGTGAAATTAATTTTAAATTGGTCAAAAAATGAGCTGCAGGGTTCGAACTACTGTAGTGTGCTGTTACGCTCTATTGAGAAGGTGACGTGGCGAAGTTCGGTGTGGAAAATCAAAAAAAAGTTTCGAGAAATCTGTTCTATTTCTAACAACCTAAAACTTTGCCACGTCAGTTTCTCAATAAAGCAGTGAAACTTACGGCTCCCGAGGAATTGATTAAGGGCACGAAGCAAAGCGCTTGGTATATCACCATGGATTGGTGCCCTCGAACTTTGTCCTTCTTCTTCAAAAATCGGGTCTCTATCTCCATATGAATCATCGATTTGTTCTTCTTTAACTCCTCCATTCACGAGAGACGACAAATCGAAGTTAGGATGTTTGAGCTCTGGCTCCGGTACACTTTCTGTTATACGGATCCGACGTTTGACAAGTGGTCGTAGTTCCAAACCACCCGGTCTTCTGTCTATATATCGAATAATGCATCCATGATCATCCAAGTCAACGTCGGCATGCTCGCGGAATCTGTAAAAGAAGATTGTTTCCGAAAATACAGTTTTTAAAGGCTCATCGTTGGTCCAGCAGCGAAAAAGCTTTTTTAATGAGTGTATGCGCCTTTAATACCGCATTTAAAAATTATAGAATTTTGCTAATTTCCCTTAAGTTTTTGTCTGATTTTCATTAACCTTAAAAAGGAATTTTCCTTATAAAAAAGAATAGACAGCTAAAAATGGGCGGTATTAAAGGCGCATGCACTTGATGCTCTTCACTCACTGATCCATCTGCGCATCTGAGACTGGAATGGATAGAGCGTAATGAAGTTTCGCTTGAGATTGAATATCGAAACCCATGTATTGTGGAGATGGGAAAGTAGGTGTGCTGTATCTAAATTAGAAAAACATATTAAAATTTAAGTTTTTCTTCTAAAAAACCTTTTCCTCAAACTCGTCGCTGTTCTAGCATCGCTGACTTCCTGCCGATACTTCTCCCAAATTGTCAATCCTTTCCCTCGAACTCGATCTCTTTCAATACGTCCATTCATCGGATTTACAATTTCACACAGTAGAAACTGCCACATACTCAAGTCTTCTTCACTGGAGAACGCTTTCTTCATTATTCTGAAAAATGCTTTCAATTTGATTTAAAACAAAAAAAAACTAGGAAAAGAAAGACCACTTTGCCGCAAATCAATAGGCAAGAATGGCGTTTTTGCCGTTGCCTTCGGCAATTATTGGGCAGAAGGGCGCGCTTGCATTTTGTCCATGAAACGGGCAGGAAAAGGACATATCGAATGCATCATTCCTTATAGGAATAACAATAAACTTTCAGGAACATGAATAAAGTATGTATAAATTAATAACCGGTTGAGGAAATGAAAAATCGGCAATCATTGAGGGAGCAACGAGGAGGCGTGGGTATTGGATACTTTTCGAATTATCTCATCAACTACTTCTCGGATATCAAACATGTTAAGTTGGTTAGTTAGCTCATTCTGATCTTCTATTGTTTCGGCTAGAACGCCTTCTTGGGTGGGTGGAAGCGATAGTTGTGGCGGAGCGCTATTATATCTGGCACGTTTCCCTGGAACTACATCCATAGCTTCAACGTCACTCATTGTGTATTCTGGATTATTATTGACGTCGATCAAAGTTTCGTTCTTCACATTTCGTTCGCTGTATCCTGCAATGCATCCTTTACTGTTAAAAGTGACGATGCCATCTTTTCGCAATCTGAAAGAAGGATTTCGTTTTATTTTTTACTATTTCCACTATGTCATTACTCTGTAAGAAAATCCTCATTTGGTGGTTGATCTAGTGAAAACAGCAAAGCCAATTTCATTTTTTTCGGAAAGCTGGCCAAATGAAGAACTGGTAGCATAATATATCTGAAGTGTTTCAGGTAGGTTTGTCCGTCGCGATTTATCGAATTCGTCTGGTTGAACCGATTCCAAAATTTCAGCGAAAACAACGCATCTCGATTTTTGGGAATAGATGCGGACTTTGGGACCGGGATGCGCTTGTAAACGAAAGTGTACATCCTGTTTTATTCTTCCACAGAAAACACATTCCTTTTTTGTTTGACTTGCTTCGCATTATCCAATTGCATTTCCAACATTGTGTCTTTATAATATACAATTCTTCTAGACTCATCTACGATAACACTTGCAATTTCTTGAAATCTCAAAAAAAATATCGAGATATTTGAAAATTAAATGGATGTTGCTTACAGCTTGATCTGCTCGTGATTTACAGGCAGGCTCAGTGCAAAATACAGTTTTGCCTTCGTTTGAATCTCAATATCCGCTAAATGCAAATTGGGAGCTACATCCTCTTGGAACCTGAAACAAAACTATGATCTGAAGTTCAGATTCTGAATCTTGAAAAATCTAGAAAGAACTATTTCATAAGAGTTGTAGCACTCTTTGGCGTAGTATTCGCTTTCTTATATTCTCGCCATAAATTACTATTATTCGGTATCATAGATGGCTGGAGAACGTCTCCAGTAAGCGAGTCGTGAATACGCTGGCAGAGGAACACATTTTCCACATTTTCTCACTTCCGGAAAAATGGAAAGCGGACGAAGTAGGTCGGGAAATTCCATGTACAATCGGTATTTATCGATTTGAAAGAATCGGATCATTCGAGTGAATTGGTCGACATCTACGACGGCTTCGGTTCGCAATTCGTCCAGGAACGCCTTGTTCATGGACATTCCCAGACCAAAGTAGAGCTTCATTTTAGCCTCTCCTGACAGAAACGCTTTGTGCAGATTTGGAGCTAGCTTATTGAAATAACTGAAAATTCCTATTTCTCTTCTATAACTATTTTTCTTGTCCGACGCCGATGAACCTTGTGGCCGAAAATGTATTTAAAGGCGCATATCCGGTCCTGAAGAGGAAACGGCTACGGTTTTACAAATATATTCGTGCGCCTTCAAACATTATATTGGAATTATTTGATTTTGCCCCGTTTTAGGCAGTTTTTCAACTTTATGAGGGAATTCCACTGATTATTCATGCGAGAATCTGAAGAATCTCAACGAAAACAATCCTCAGATTCCAATGAATAATCAGCTGAATTTTATTATAAAGTTGAAAATGCCAAAAATGAGTCAAAATAAAATAATTTCGAAGTACTGTATTAAAGGCGCATGAAGGTATTTGTAAAAACCGTCGCCGTTTCTTCTTCAGGACCGGCTATATCCTTGTCAGAGAAAAAAAAGGTTGAGTCGAAGTGTATGCGATGTTTGTAAACAAATATCTGAAAGCGTAAACGACCGGAAACAGTTGAAACGAGTGCGACAGTAACCCGGCGGGAAAATATTAAATTTACTCATTTTTTAGCTTTTCGCATATTTTGCAGCAAATTTCGTCGAATATATTTTAAAATACCGCAAAAAACAATGAAAAACAAACCATATTCGACGAAATTTGCTGCAAAATATGAGAAAAACTAAAAAATAGGTAAATTTAATATTTTCCCGCCGGGTTACTGTCGCACTCGTTTCAACTGTTTCCGGTTGTTTACGCTTTCAGATATTTGTTTACAAACATCGCATACACTTCGACTCAACCTTTTTTTCTCTGACAAGGATAATATGTGCCTTTAACGAAATTTTCGGCCATCGTCACCGGACAAGAATATCCAACAACTCACTAAGATCTCAACTTCCATGCTGGTCTCATGGAATTCGTTTCTTTTTAAACTCCTGCCAAGACCTCATAGAATATGTGTCGAGGATAATTTGCTCCGAAATGTCACTCGTGCAACATTTTCTGTACAAAAACGCCTAGATGGCTTCGTCCTCGATCCACGAAAACTCGGTTACGATCATTTCTTGAGGAGCGTAGGCGGAGAATCCTCTCGGACCGAAAATAAAATACGAACATTTTCGAGAAAAGAAAGTCACTAAATTAAGAATGATCTAAATATTTATTGTTAGTGTATTGAAAAATAAGGAAAAATAGATGGAATTTGGATGGGATAAGACGACCCGAGACAAGAGAAAAATAGCTATTTTGAATTATCCCAAATCGTGTGAAATTGAGAGAATCGGCTGCTCGAGATACGCTGACAACGAGTGAAGTTTGGCGCGCACCAATCCCAAATCGGTCTGATTGCTGGCTCGGATCGCGAGCATCATTGAGCGAGCCACGAGTGTGCACACGATGACGCCATCCTCCAACACGAGAATCGTCTCTTTCAAATCGTTCGCTGTAATTATTTAAATTCGCAATTTTTCAAATTTGTAATCCTCTACCTCTTCTCTCCAAAGCCGTCCAGACACTGGCCAAAAGTGCCGACGACACGTTCGACGCCACCTCCTTTTGCTCGGTTCCGACGTACGCCAGAAGCAGTCCTTCCTTGTTGAAAAGCCACGATCCATCGACACCACTCGTGTTGACTTGTCCAAGCACATCAACCAACGCTTTCTGTCTCAACATCTGGAGAGCAGGAATAAGAAAAACTTAGAAATCATTAAAAAAAAACAGTCAGAAATATCAAAGAAACGGTTTGAACCGAGAAAACTCGAATGATTCGGAGAAGAAGAAATGAAAGGGGAAAAATAATGATAATTTATTCAAAGAAGAATGGGGGAATAGAGATCCGATAGAATAGAACAGCAAATGGTTGAAAATAAATAGTTAACAGCAGATGATAGAATCATTCAGTCCATCTGAACTGACAGTACATGCACACGTAGTACAGTCTCATCTCCTCTTCAGCTTTCTTGGTTTGCGCCTGGAAGAACACCGCTTTTCTCTTCGTGCACTTTGGACACGAGTGCTCTTCAGTCTTGGGAAGTGTCGGATCGTGGATGATGTCGGCGACGATTTGGGTCAACTCGCTGGAAGAAGAATTTAGATAACTAATGTATACGGAAACATACTCAATCTCATGAACGAGCTTGTTCACGTAGATGCATGGATTTGCAGCGACTTCGCGATGTTCACAGTTTCGGCACGAGTACATCAAAACGCGAGATTCCTTGTCTTCGCGTGGATAGAGCATGTTGTTGCTGAAGAAAAACGATTTGATGGGCAAGATGGGAATTTAAAGGCTCACCACTCTGGACAGAATTTGATTCCGACGAATCCAGGCCCGCTCTTTCCATCGCCGTCGCTTGGCGCCGGCGAGAGACCCGCACTTGGATCATACATATCCTCGTCCTCATATTCTTGACTCATTTTTTGGCGCTGACCAATTACTCTATTTGAAATCCTGTAGACGAGAAATATTTGAAATATGGCGATGGTATAAAACCAAACGAAATACAAAGAAATTATCAAAATGACATTTTAAAATCCCCTTTTTTATATACACACCGACAGACGAAGAGAGAGGAAAACTAACGAAAAATATATATACAGGTTGCCCAAAGAGACAAAAAAAAAGACAAAAAAACATAAGAAAGGAATGATGCTAGCCATGATGTTCTATAAAAGTTGTGAAGAGAGCAATAGACAGAAAAGAAAAGTGAATTCAGTAAAAAAAAATTATTCATCCCAGTTGACCCATCCCTCTTCCTTCTTCTCGCTGCTATCAGGTCGTGGTGTCAATGGACCCTTCTCGTCGTCAGATGGAATCTCCTATAACTTTTCGAGAGCTTTCATTCACTTCCTTGACAAGATTTCACTAACCTCAACATTCTTCTCACTACAAACACTCCATTCCGATTGCGATGGACTCGTTGGCTCTTCCACAACCACCGCTGACGAGTCGGACGATGGTGACGACTTCTTCGACGACACTTCAGAAGATGTTTTTCTATTCGCCTTCTTTGGTGATTTAGTGTCTACATTCAATGCTTCGGATAGCGTGGATTTGTTCATTTCCTCCTCCATCTCAGCAACTTCGATCGCATAAAAATACCGTTTCCAGAATGTCTCATGAGTGACTTTAGCAGGAACAAGACTCGCGAAAACTTGACGAAGAGATGGGTTATTTGCCAAAAGGATATTGATTTCTCCGTCGTACTCGTCTAAATTGAAGCGAGAATTCCATCTTTCATAGAATTCCGAGTTTCCAGGCTCATTGAGATACGTCGCTTCATTCGATTGAATTTCAGAAATTTTCAATTTCGACAGGAAGGTCCTTCGGTCTTTCTTCGGCTTAATGACCTCAGTGAAATCATCTTCACCGGTTGTAGTCTCTTCCATTGCCAAATTTTTAACAGTGTCCGTGACAGTATCCACGATTTTGCTCATCCACCCGAAGCTCAATGAGCTGGAGCTCTCCAACTTTGGCTTTGGTTTCTCCGAAGTCTCCCCAGTCTCTTCTCCTTCTCCAGGAAGTGGTTTCTCTTCTTCACTCGGTGTCACCATCTTCTCGAAAATCTGAGCCTGTTGTTTCACAGCGCTCGCCGCGGTTCCGAATCCTTCCTTCGCCGCTGAAGCGAGATCGCTCACTTCGGCAGTCACAGCTTCTCCCAAATCATTCAAATCTTTCTTGACGAGGTCGAGTGTTGTCATCGTCTGGAATTATTCGTACTGACAGATATCTTTTGAATTCTATTTTTGGCATTATTCAAAAAGTATCTACCAACCTTCTCTTTCGCTGAATTAAAGAAGGATGCTCCCCATGATGATCCTTGATTGAGCCACGAGCTGGCAACTCCGAAACCGCCGAATCCACTTTCATCGGTGGTCGCCGCCGCCGGTTTCTCCTCAATTTTTTCTACTGTTGATGGTAGAACTTCCTCTTGTTTTGGGTCTGTCATCCTGGAAAAAAAAGAGATATTGAGCAGAATTCATGTGTTGCTCGAAACCAAATTATGTAGAAAAAGGGAGAACGAACGAATGGATGGGAAAACAAGGAAGATTTAATGAAAAATATGGAAAAAAAATAGACATAAACAGAAAGTGGAATGAGAGGAAGCATGAAGAAGAGTCGTCGAAAAGAGACGAAATGCCAGGAGAAAAAAAGGAAAAATCGTCATGTGAAGAATAGCGGCGGAGCGCACTTACCCAACCTGCGCTCTCTCCAAAAAGCATGCTGTTTCGCTGTTTTATAGAGATGCAGATTGTGGGAAAGATCATAATTTGAAAAAAAATCAGATGATTCTTCGAATAATTCTTTTCATTTCTAGCTTCATGTGATTCTGAAATCTGTTCACATATTTTTGAATAAAGAGTCTTTATTAAAGACACGAAATGACGATAATAGAAAACCTCTCTGAAACAAAGAAAGCGAGTAATTGGAAACAAAGACAACTGAAACTGGGAATTTACATCAAAGTTACAATTTCACTACAGACGACAAAGAGATGTGTGCTTATCTAGGAAAACGATCTGAAACTGTGTGATGAAAGAGGAGGGAGAAAATGAGATCGGTATCGATTTAGAGTGTCGCTGAACAAGGAAACGAGAAGCATTGGAATGTGATTTTTTGAATGGAAGCTGTTAACCCAAGTACATCTTTAAAACTATTCAATGAAAAAAAACACTCCAATTTTAGGTTAATTTAGAAATGAGATGGAAATAGTCTAAAGAAAAGGCTTTTAAAAAGAACATTGTTCTATTTTAAATGATGAAGAAAGTGTATAAAGTTTCAGATGGCGTTATTATAAATGCACTGAAACCCGAAGCTACAGTAAAATAAGCGTCGATCTCGACACAAAAGCTTTAAATTTAACTAAATCACAGTACCCTAGCACTCTTCGGTTTAAATCCATTCAAAAAAGTATCTGAAACCCATCCAGTCTAAATCTCAATTGACAGATGTCCTTGTGTTCAGGTAATTCGGGTGGTCTGCGGACCTCGTCCGCAGATCGTTTCTTTGACCATTTATTGATTTACCAACAGATTAAGGACAATCTTGTATTCGTTCAAAATCACTGACATAATGTACACTTCATGGAATCGTGCAATCGAAATTGTCATCGGAACTAATTTGGTTGCATGCTTTCTGTTTTTGTTTTGTATCATGATAGCAATGGGAATATTCGAACTACATTACGAACATTACGCCCAGTGTCTCCTGTTCACTGCAATATTATTCTCAGTAGCTTTTATTTCTATGATGATTCATGGTATTTATATCCGACGAAAGATTTCGAGAGGTGAAGTCAGAAGAGTAGAAGTACACTTTGATAACTTCAAAATTGGTTCCTGCATCGTATCCTTTTCTGGAGTCATTGTCAATTTAATGGTTTGCTGTTTTGGAACAGAACCAGAGGTAAGATGAGATTATTTGTATTATAATGTTCTTTTTATTTTAAGATATACAATACTTGTCATATTATATATGCCTTCATAAACTTAATGATGTTAGGTTTATTATTGCGCTCTCTGGAAACTTTGGTAATGGATATAGAGATGCACAAAAAGCATTTGAAAAATGTGTTATTATGTCAAATTGCTGGGATCATAATATTGCCACTGCTCACTCATCACATAAGAACATGGAATGAAATAAGTGCAATCTTGATCAGCCAACTGATTTGTATGCCCTCTTCCTGGATTTGTATGCTCTCTTCAACAGACAGTGACTCATCAGAATCTCAAATAGATTGCTCAGAAATTTATCAGTAAGTATCTTTTAAATCAGAAGCAATGGTCAATTTGAATTTATAGATTGACTGGTTCTCTTTGTGGTGTTTGCTACCGGACCTACAGTGATAGTAGCAGAAAGAAAACTCCTCGCATACTGACAGAATGTGGACACACTATATGTGAAGGTTGTGCTGGGAGAATATTGAAGGCCAATTATAGTTCATATCTTCCATGCCCATGAAGTGAAACGTAGAAATTAGTAAACTGAAAACTTGAACGGTAACACATCTAGTGATCCGGAATACAAGAAAATCGATGTAATTTTGAAAAAGAGTTAACGAAAATCTCACCGAGTTGAAGTACCAAATTACTGATGCAATGGCTGCGCTGAAGCTTGGGAATCCGGCTGATCAGAAAACTATTTTTTAAAACTTTTATTTATCGTTGCTCACTAACGTCAATGTAACATAAAAAACCTTGAACCAATCGGACTCCTTTGGCACGTTGTTCAGATGTTTCATAACAGCCAAAATTGTACCACAGAAACGAGCAAAAGGGGTAGATTTGGATTTTCTAAGATTTCGTCTGTCCCATCTCCGCCATGTTGTTCCCATTCTGACGGTCAATCGCAACTTCGAAAACATCGTTGTTATCAAGGCTCTGGCCGTTTTGACGTGTTTCAGCGAATCCCTGATTACTTGCTGCTTTTCTTGAATTTTGAGTCTCATGACTTCGCAGTTCTGTAAGATTTTCAGTCAACTAGGTATCAAGGACAAAAACTACAAGATTGCGTATTTGTAATTTGTTAATGAATGAAGCCTAATGAATGAAGCATACATAAGGTGGAGACGCAGACAGGCCTGTGAAAAACTTCTCTGCTTCTCAACCTCTTTTTTTGCAGAGATCTATAATATTATCATAATTTGAAATTATTACACTAGGATTCCAAATGGGTTAGTAAACCGGGAGTCATTCGGTACAAAATTGGAAACAGGGTAAAGGGGTAGAATCGGTTAAAATGTAAAATATCTACTCTCCTCTTAAATAATTGAAACGGTCCATTAGTTTGAGGAGCAGTGGAGCGCATTTTCATCATTTGGTTACTGTAGCCGAGGAGTGTGCTTGACAGAAGAGCGCGTGCGAGTCTGGAAATAGGCAGAGAGAAGGTTCCTAGGGTAGGCCGATAGAAAACGAGTGAAATTGTGGCAATTGTATTCGGGAAAATGATATTTTTCTTTACAATTGAGATACCGTGAACACCGATGGAACGTCACTCATAACTTTCAACTTTGAGCTAATTTATCCAAGCTCTTGTGAAAGATATCAAAAAGTAATCAGCTGACAAAATATTCATGTTTTTATGAATAATATTTTGTCAGTTTATCACTTTTTGGTATATTTCATAGGAACTGAGATATATGGGCTCAAAGTTAGGGAGGCGTTCTATTAGAATGTTTACGGTATATTGTACACAAGGTAATCTGAACAAAGAAGTATAATAAGTATAAAAGTTCACCCAAATAAGATATGCCATTTGAAAATGTTATGACTTCATAATAGGTGATTTTTTAAAGTTTATGCACTTTGTTGATTTGAAACAGTATACCGTAAACACTAATAGAACGCTCTCTAACTATAAACTTTGAGCTAATTTATCTTGGTTTCTGTAAAAGATATATAAAAGTTTGTCAACTAAAAAATGTTTGTGACATTATAATAAACATTTCATCAGTTGACCATTTTATGATATCATTCACAGAAAACGAGATATATGAGCTCAAAGTCGACAGCTTAGAGGCGTTCTATGAGAGTGTTTACCGTAAATATCTTGTTTGAAAACATTTGTACAAACGAAGAAAAATTTTGCCCGGTACTGTAACTTGCGAGAAAAAGGGTTTATCGTCGGCCACCAACTGCCAAAAAATTTCCAAAAATTTTCAGATTGTTCAAATCATTTGCAGACGAGTTCTGTTATTTATTCGGACTGTAAGTTTAATATTTATTTTATTAATCCTGCCTGGAAAGAAAATTTGTTTCGAATTTTCACATCTCTTCTACCTTCATTTGAACCCTAATACTTCTCAAAGAAGACCATAGAGACGCAACATTTTACCTCTCAAGTGACAGATGTTCAGATACACTGGGTTCTTGCATGGCCTGAGGACCAGATGGCGAGACCGTCCTCTTCATACATGTATTGATTGACCTGCAGGGGAAAGGCATTTATCTTGTTGTATTCACCCAGCACTACAATTATATTTTATTAAAATGTACCAATTCTGGAATGATGTGACTGAAATTCTGATACTTGTTAATCGAACTGTATATGGTCTGTTTGTGCCTACTCTTATGGATTTATTTTTCCGGCATTATGACTACTCGAAACATTGCTTCCTTACCTGGTTTGCTATTCTCATTTGTACCACAGTCCTTGGTATTGTGGTAATTTATGATGGCTTTGTTTCTAAAAAAGTTTCGAGAAATGAAATTAGACGGGGAGAAGCTCATTTCAATAAGTTCAAAATCGGCTGCTCCCTTGTATCATATTCTGGAGTCGTTGTCAATTTAATAGTTTGTTGTTTTGGAACAAAACCAGAGGTTAGTTGAAACTTGTTTTTGTAACAAATGCCTTATCATTTTCAGATATTCGTTACTGCTCATGTTATACATACGCTTACGAATTTTGTGGTAACACTTAATTTCGTTTCCCCTGCTCTTGATTATCTAGTAATGGATATAGAGATGCACAAAAAACATCTGAAAAATGTGATATTATGTCAAATTGCTGGAATCATAATATTGCCATTGCTCACTCATCACATAAGAACATGGAATGAAACAAGTGCAATCATGTTCAGCCAACTACTGTGCATGTTCTCTTCTTGGAATATCGCAGATTATTAGGTTGGCGGGAAAGTCTTTGTCACTTTTTCAATAGTTTATTTCTCAAAGAAAAAATAACCGAATAATTAATTATATTGTCCATCATTATCAACAACATGTCTCCAACGTTCCCTCAATTTATGGATTCCATTGCGGTAGAATCCAGCCGGGCGTGAGGCAACGTATTGTTTGAGTGCCGCTTCGACCGCTCCACGGGAATTGAAGCTTCTTCCTTCGAAGGCACGTGTCATATCGCCAAATAACCAATAGTCGGAAGGAGCAAGATCAGGAGAATACGGGGGGTGAGGGAGAACATTCCATCCATATCCCATCAGCTCCTGCTTCACTTGTTTCGAAACATGTGGGCGAGTGTTATCATGTTGATAGTACACTTTCTTGTCTTTCAGGGCCGAACGGTCGACTGCTTTCTTGAGGTTTCGTAGTTGAGTAGTGTAGAGGTCTCCAGTTATTGTTTTGCCCTCGGGCAGAAGTTCCCAGTAGATGGGGCCGTCCACTCCCCACCACACAGAGAGCATAACTTTTTTCGGATGAAGGCGGGTTTTGGGACATCCTGTGGGCTCTCTCCTTCTCCAACCCACTGGGATTTCCTGTGGTGATTATCGTAGAAGACCCACTTCTCATCTCCGGTTATTAGCCGGTCCAGCCATCGATCGCCCGCGTGGAGAGTGAGAAGAGTAATCGAATCGTCGACTCGGCGGTCAAGGTTGGCTTGAGTCAGGTGATGAGGTATGAATCGACCAAAAAGTTTTCTCATTCCAAGAGACTTCAAACCTTCAAGGACTGTGCTATGGTGAACTCCGAATGTGACAGCTAGTTCACGGCTAGATTGAAATGGATCCGATTGCAATGCGTGCTTCAGCTTGTCCAAATCCAACTCACGGGGTCTCCCAGAGCGATCCTTTTCATCGAGCGAGAAGTCATCTTTTTCGAAACGATGGAACCAATTGCGAATAGTATTGTAGTGAGGGGCATGTGTGTTGTACACATTCTTCAAGAAAGTTTCCGAATCCTTCATCGTGGTGTGAGATAGGAAGAGGTAAATCAAAACATGTCTGATGTGAATAGCAGTGGGAACAAACATATCGTTTCAATTACAGATGAGGAGCAGGGAAGGAGATGGGGACTTGTTTATATGGAAGGTTCTTATCACCTTGTTATTCACTAGAGTCGATATCATACACAGCCTCCATATACGAGAACAGTGATTAAACAAACAGAGTGACAAAGACTTTCCCGCCAACCTAATATTTATCGATTCGTGATGGTGGACTAAAGTTGAATGAGTTTATGGAATTCGGAGAGGGGGAAGAAAATTTCAGTGACCTGAATCGGGAAGAGCACAGGAAATCAACAGAATCACTTGATTCAACTTATGAACAAGATGATTATACAAAATCCCACGAGTGAGTTTTCATCCTATAATCAGTGTTAAACTGACTACGATTTCTAGGTCAATAGGTTCCTTTTGTGGTGTTTGCTACCGTACCTACAGTGACAAAATCAAAACGAGAACACCTAGATTGCTAAGAAAATGTGGACATACAATATGTGAAGATTGTGCTGGGGAGATATTGAAAAACAATTATTATATAGATATCCCTTGCCCATTTTGTATGGAAATGACACGAGTTGGTGAGTGACTTCCACTTTATTCTGTCAGTGTTCAGTATTATTTAAATTCGTTATTTCCAGTATCCGCCCGTCGACTATCAAAAAATTACGCATTGCTTGAAGGGATTTGCGAGTTGAAACGATTAAAAGCATTTTACAAATGTTACCCTCCTAAGAAAGCAGAATTTGTGAAACTGGAACGGCGATATAGTTTCTCTTGAATTCCTGGATCTTTATTTTCATATTCTTATTTTGCTAATGATGACTCCGAGGAGTAAATCATCGTTGCCGTATTTGCTCTTACAGAAGCTCATTCAAGCCGTCAACTTTGAGCTCAATAATCTCGATTCCTGTGAAAGATATCAAAAATATGCAAACTGATAAAATATTGATGATTTTATGTTAAACAATTTTTTAGTTAATACATTTTTGAAACCTTTCGAAAGAACCGAGATAATTGAGCTGGAAGTTGACGGTATGGGTCGGATTCTATTCGAGGAAATACGGTCATTTGTTGCTCTGTCTTCGATAAATATTTTCATTGAATTGCTTGAAGAATTAAGAAACATGAACAAGCATAACTTAAATTACGATGGTACTGACCACACGAAACAATTGAGACTAATAAACACCGAACTTCAATTGTCTTTAACTCTGCGCAACAGCTGAGAAAATGAAAATCACCACTTCCAAAAAAAATCCTGATCATTTAGCAGTGTCTAAGCATAACCAGCAGAGATTACCAAATGAGACAATACATACGCCAATTGGCAGATGTTCCCTGAACGCACTGTGTTCCGATAATACTGTGGTCAACGGACCAGATGGCTAGTCCGCACGCCATACCATTTATTGATTTACCCCAACCGAGCGAGGAGAGCCCTCAGGAATTTCTTGTATTCGTTTAACACTGCAATGTACACCTCATGGAACTATGCCCATTATATCGTCAACATGGCTTCTTGGGCATCTCATTTTATGATGCTGTTTTTTGTTGTGATATTTTTTTCTGACAATCAATCGCGGAATGAGAAAAGTCAGGAGATTTTGATGCTCCCGCCTTTGATACTAATTGCTGGTTGTGTTTTAATTTATTCGAGAGTGGTCAAACAAAAGATTTGGAGAGGCGAATTAAGTGAGATAGAAGCGTACTTCATTGGTTTCAAGGTTCATTCCACCATTTTAACATATTCTGGAGTCATTTTCAATCTAATAGTTTGCTGTTTTGGAACAATTCAAGAGGTACATTCAACTACAGTACCGGTCAATAAGGTATTCGCAAAAAATTATTTTTCAGTTCATTTTCGGTATTTTTGACCATTTTCAGGAGTCTGGAGCTCGGTTGTCAAGTGTCCGATCACTTGAATCTTTTGAAAATTCCTAGTTTTTCAGCTATTTGCCGATTTCTAGAGAACACCCGTTTTTTACGTTTTCAGTACAAAACCGGTGGAAATAATCTACCAGAAAACGAAAAATTGTTGAAAGAATCGGAGTTTTTGAAAAATTTTATGAATGAAAAATTTTGAGAATAATCGGAAACTTGCAATCCGAGTTCCAGACTCCTAAAAACAGTCAAAATGGACGAAAATCAACTGAAAAATATGTTTTCGAATGTCTTATTGACCAGTACTGTAAATCTACATCTGAGACAAAAAGATTTTTCAGGTATACATAATTTTTCACTCGCTTCATCTTTTCATGAATTTCTCCATGCTGCTTCGTGTTTTACCATCCCTCAGAAATTTGGTTATGAACACTGGGATGCACAAAAAGCATTTGAGAACCGTGCTAATGTTTCATGTCGCTGGAATCATTATATTGCCACTTCTAACTCAAGATATACGAAGTGGGAGAGAAATCAGTGCAATCTTCATAAACCAAGTAATTTTCATGTCTTATTCTTGGAATATCGCCGACTATTTATCGTTTCGCGATGGTGGACTTGAGTTCAGAGAATTAGAGATTGAAGAGACTCCAAATGATATAGATTACGAAAGTGATAATGAAGAAGACTCTTCGGAGTTTCATAAGTGAGTTTTCCTTTTACTTTTCTCTTTGAACTTTTTGATTTTACAGATCAACAGGTTCTATTTGTGGTGTTTGTTACCGTTCTTATTGTGATAGCATTGAAATGAGAACACCTCGAATTCTGAATAAATGTGGCCATACAACATGCCGAAAGTGTGCTGGAAGAATAATTAAAAGTAGTTGTCATCTGTATATTCAATGTCCCTTCTGTACAAAAAAGACACGAGTTGGTGAGTTTCCTTTGCCTTATTCTTTGATTACCGTAAACACTCTATTAGAAGGTCACCCAATTTTTGAAGTATTTAATTACAAAAATGAACCTCTATTTTTGTTTAGCATACTCTGAAAATTTCAGAAATATCCAAAAATTCCAGACTGAGGCTTTCAAAGTTGAAAAACGTCGATCTATGCCTTATTCTTTGATTACCGTAAACACTCTATTAGAATGTCACCCAATACTTGCACTTTAAGCCCGATATAAAAGCTCAAAGTTGACGATTTGAGGGCGTTCTATTACAGTTTTTGCGGTATTTAAAACTTACTATTCTTTTACAGATTCGGTTAATCGACTTCCAAAGAATTACGGATTGCTTGAAGTTATCAGCGACATGAAACAATTAGATGAATTTTATAAATCATCGGCTACGGAGAATTCGGAACCCCAACGAAGAGAACGACGAAACAGTTTCTGAAGCATTATAACAATCTCAGAAGTTTTCCAGCCACCTGTGAAAATGGAAAACTCCTGTATGTAATAAACGCTTGTTCTATTGTTTTTCTCTTGACTTTTATTCACTAAAACGACAATGCCTTTCTGAAATTCAAAGATTTGGAACAGGTAGGCCGCAGGTTATACCGTAATTGCTCTGAAAGAAGCCCTCTCGAACCGTCAACTTCGAGCTCAATTTTCTCTATTCCTGCGAAAGATGTCGAGAAGATATCAATTAATAAAATGTTGATCATAATATCAGGAGCATGTTATCAGTTGACACATGTCCGCTATCTTCCACAAGAAAAGTGATAATCGAGGTTGAAGATTTGGGTTGGCCTAACATATGAAATGGTAGTTACAGTAAGAAGAAGCGAACAAAAAACGAATCTTGACAGTTTCTAAAAAAACTCTCTGTTGATTGTGATGGTCCATAATATCCACAAAAATTTTTGAGCTTCTCTCAAATACAAAAACCAGTCATAGTTATGTCATGCCCTGTTCTAGAACTTTTCACTCGGACTACAGGCTACAACTTTGACAAAAAGTCTGCGTCTCTTCGTCTCATTCACTATTTCCGGAGCAAACTGTCTGCGAAAAATCAAATGTTTCAGAAGGAGGGCTCGACCAGCGGAGCAGTGTATCCAAATATTTGTGCCCATTTGTCGAATGGAGTGCGTTGCGCTCTGAGACTTTTGCTCGATTTACGGCAAGTTTTGTGCGACGACCCAACCAATATTACTTTTCTTCGTCTTGGCACTTTGAAATTCGTCATTTTGCCGGAATAATCGTTTTCAGATAATTAGCTACAAGAAATTTTTACTACCGTTTTTCTTCTAATATCAGTTAATAAGAGTTTTCACACACTGCCAAGTTTGATCTCAATCGATTACTGTAAAAGATATCAAAAATGTGTCAACTGATAAAATGTTTGTGATATTATGATTAACAATTTCTCAGTTGGCAGCGTTTCGATATCTTTCACTTGAATCGAGATAGTTGAGCTCCAAACTGACAGTTGGAGTGAGCTTCTTTTTGATTGAAAACAAATTAATTGTGAATCTACAGTTCTGCATAAATTGTAACATATTATTTGAAGCTTTTAGAATTCATCAAACCAAAATTTTTTTAAAGTTTTGAACTGAACATATAAAAATAAAACGGTTTACCGTAAACCCCGTAATAGAAGGGCCCTCACACTGAAAAAAAATATTGGTGAATTCATGACAAACAGTTTATCAGTTGACAACTTTTAGATATCGTTCACAGGAATTGAGATAAACTGGCTTGAAAATTAACGTTCAGGTGGCACTTCTATTCCAGGCTTCAGGGTGCATTTCATTAGAGATTTTTTTCGAATTTTACATGTAAAATGTTCAATTTTCCACTCATTTTTAACTGACTTTCAATTGATCTAGTATTCAAAACCCCGAAACTAAAAAACTGTGATTTGTAGAACACACTTTCCCATTCCCATAAAAATCCTTCAATCATTTTTCTCCCCGTTCTGGCATGAAGCCAAAATGTGTGTCCCGACGGCTACAAACCACACATCATTTCGAAACAACTTCTTTTCCGTAGTCCAGTGTGCTCTTGTCTCCATGGAAAACTGAAGAGACTCATCCTCTTCTTTCGCCTTCTCTCGTTTCGTCTCTCTCCATTATTCAAGTGACCACCCAGTGTCGCTTTTGTGTCTCTGTTACATTTTTTGTGCTCTTTTTAGTGCATTTTCAGATAGGCAGGTAATAGTTTTATCTAGTTGTACAAATTTTAACAACGATAAAAGTATATGTAATGTTCCTGACATTACGGTATCACCCAAAAACTTTTTTCGGGAAAAAATAGCACAGTTAAATGAAAATGCCGAGCTAAAACTCAAAAATAGTTACAAATCAAACATTTTGTTAGTTGATCACATTTCGTATTTTACAAGAATTATATTTTACAGGAATTGAGATATATAAGCTCAAAGTTTCGGTGTTATCCTTTTAGAGAGTTTACGGCAGCTCCCATTTGAGCTCAATTATCTCGGTTCCTGTGAAAGATATCAAAACATTGTCAACTGGTAAAATATATTTGATAATATGATAATTTTTATCAATTGACAGATTTTTCATATCTTTCGCAGGAATCAAGATATATAAGCTGAAAGTTAGCGGCATTGGTGGGCTTCTAGGAACTACGGTAACACATCAGAAACTAAACAGACTTTACTTTGAGCCCGTATATCTCGGTTCCGGTAGAAGATATCAGAACGCTGTCAACTGATAAAATATTTTTTATATTATGATGAACAGTTTATCAGTTGATAACTTTTTGATATCTTTCACAGGAATCGAGATATATGAGCTCAAAGTTTAAGTGTCATCCTATTTTATTGTTGCCAAGTTCTTTTCATTTGGAAAATCGAAATTTTGCAGATTTTTAAACTTTAAGACAGCGCTGTTTCTTTCCAGAAACTCTTCAAACAACATCTGGTCTAGAACTTTCCAGAATTTTCAACTACCATGTTTTTCTGTACACTAAAACCTGATGTTTGCTTCTCAATTTGAGCATCCGAGACAACAAAAAAGTCTCGAAAGTTCCCATACAAGTTCTCTTGCTCTTTTCTCTTTCTTTCTTTTTTTTCTTTTTCTGCTGCTAATTTTCCTCGTTTGCCTTTGAACATTATTTACCAACACATATGTGTACCTAGTGCGTACCCTGGGTGTTATCAATCCATGCCATTACACATACTTTTCCATTTTTGTGCCATCTCACTATTCATGGAATGAGTCACATTTTCAGCTGAAATTTTCCTTTTTAAATTTCAAATTTCCCAGTTTTACTTCTCCAGTTTCTTTTTTTTTGTTCTAAAACTTTCTAGTTTGGTAACTTCTCTTGAATGCCTTTTAGAATATTCTACACCAGGATCTTGAAGCTTGGTCTCTGGAAACTGATCGGTCTTAGAAAAAAGGGTATATCTTACAACATAAGTATTTTGGAATCACTAAAATTGGTAGAAGTATAATTTTATGTTTGATTCAAAGCTACTGAAATTTTCAAAGCGATTCCTCAAGTATTGATGGTCCAGAGATGAACATCGTTGTGATTTTTATGAGATGAGGCAACTTTGACAAGCGATAACTCAGCTCCCAGTAAATCAATTAGTTTGAAACTTGGCTAGTTTATTGATGAGTTATTAGAATTTCGGCAATTTCAATTTGAGCCCACTACAACGCTCTACTCAAATTTATGCTAGTACAAACTTGAGTCCTTGTAATTATGCGGCACCCTGTCCCCTTAAAATATTGTAAACCGAATTGAAATGAATTAAGTGACCTAGAGGAATTTATTTGGGTGGAGCCACGTAGTTCAAAACATTGAAATCCTGATCTGAATATATCATGTCTTTTTTCTGAATCTTGATTTTTTGGATTACTGTAGATATTCTTTCAGATGGCAACAGAGGTGGCAACAAAAAGGAACTCGCCGTTTCGATTTCTTCACAAACTCCCAATCCGACTGACGTTTACAGAAAAGAAGGCCCCTCTTCTGATCAGTGATCTTGCGAAAGAATCAGAGTGAGTCGTCAGTTATCATTTTTTCTTACTCTTGCTTTTTTGCAATGCTTATCTCATTTTTTTGCGTAGCTAAACTATTCGATAGTGACGATACACTATAATAAAGTTTAGCAATAGGTATGCAAAAAGTGAATTGGAAATAGCCCTGATATTTCTAATTGAGGCTGCCCGATTTTTTTGGCTGCCCGATTTTTTGATTTTCAACCTGAAAATTGTTTTGTATGAAAGGTTGCGCTGAAACGATCACAGTGAGACCACCTTGCACTTTGAGCCATGTATCTCGGTTTCTGTAACAGATATCAAAAAGTGATCAACTGACAAAATGTTTGTCATAATAAAACAGATTTTATCAATTGACAACTTTTTGATTTTTTTTAATATACTAGTAAATGGATATAGGATTTCGTCTGCTTGATGTTTAAAAAATTAATATGCCAAACAAAAATGGAGCTTGATAAATATTCCAACTGCAAATCTCATTCGGCAGAAATTCACAGATGATGCTTTTTTGTTTTGTGAATCCCAAATTTTCTGAAACCTTTGGACAAGTCCCCTACCGTAAACACTACAATAGAGCGTCTTTCAAACTGTCAACTTTACTATATCTCACTTCCTGTGAGAGATATCAAGAAATGGTCAACTGACAAAATGTTTATCAAAATATTATAAACATTTTTTTAAGTTGACTACTTTTTAATATCTTTTACAGGAGCCGAGATAAATTGGCTCAAAGTTGAAAGTTAAGGGTGGCGCTCTTAACTTTCAACTTTTTTAGTAAACATTCAAACTACAAATTTCACAGATGTTCACAGATGAAGCTTTATTCGGGTTTCGCGAATCACAAACTTTTTGGAACCATCGGGCAGAGTCGAACTATCAAACTTGTTCTCCCGCCTAATTTTTACTATTAAACCTTAACATGACGTAATTTTTAACGTCTGTACATGCAACACAGAATTAAGAACATGGTTTTTTCCAACTTTTAAAATCCCCTGATTCTAACATACCGTACTCCCTAGTTTCTCTAAATCCATCCCTAGTGGCTCTAAATGACCCATAACACAGAGCACACACATGTTGTGCACCGCCCTTTTCATGTGTCTTCCTATTCCGTGTCCGCTTCTCCCGCCATCTCCTTTCAACGAGTTCATTGTATTCCCATTTGATAAGAAGTACCTTTCTCTTTTCCATTCATTTACTCCCCATTGCAATGTCTCGCATTACCGATTCTCTGTGTCTAGATGAATATCTGAGCAGGTGTCATTGCTGCTGATTTTACTCCAAAAACTATTTAACTTTTTCAGCGAGCTCAAAAAGCGAACACACATTCTGGAATGCGCATGGAATCAGGAGCACGACGATGAAGAAGAGGAGGAGGAGGAGACGAGAGAAGATGGAGTAGTTGATGGATCAGATGACGCGTCATCCACTCACGATATCTATGGAGATATTGGAAATCGAGCACCGAATGAGTTTGAGCATGTAAGTTTTCTAGAATTTTCAGAATTAGAAAAGGTTGTTTCTTAGATTGGAAGATTCACGACATTCCAAGTCTACATCGCTTGGTTTGCACTTTTTCTGTTCGCCCATATTCGAGAGTATGTGACAAGATTTGGATTTGTCAAAGATTTGTCGAATAAGGAGAATAAGTCCATGAAGGTAAGGAATAGCTATTTTGCTTCACTTTGCAGGGTTATGAATTACCGTAAACACTCTAAGAATGTTACTCTCGCAACAGTCAACTTAGAGCCCATATATCTCATTTTCTGTAAAAGATATCGAAAAGTGGTCAACTGACAAAATGTTAGCAATCTTATGATAAAGAATTTATCAATTGACTACTTTTTGGTATCTTTCACAGGAACCTAGATAAATTGCAGAAAAGTTGAAAGTTAGCCTAACTTTCAATTTTTAAGCATAACTTTTATTTTTGAGCTCATTTATCTCATTTTCTGAAAAAGATATCGAAATGTGGCTAACTAACATAATGTTACTGGTATTATGATAAGCTTTTTTGATTGACCACTTTTTGATGTCTTTCACAGGAACCAAGATAAATTGGCTTGAAAGTTAAGGGCTCCTTCTATTACAGGTTTAACGGTAGCGACTTTTTTGTCCCACAATCACTGACAAATTGATCCTAGCAGTTTTGCCCATCTTTATATTTCTTATCACCCTATCATTTCCTGTTTTTCTCCGTGCCACCAAGAATCTAGTAATCACTCTCTATCGCAAAGTACACATAATCATATCACTTATCAGTCACCTCATCATTCGATCTTTCTTTTTTCCAGGACTTCGTGCCATTGTTCAGCGACTTCGAAGCATTTTATCAACGAAATTGTTACATCAAAGTGCGAGACGTCTTCGAGCGACCAATTTGCAGTGTACCCGGAGCTACTGTTGATTTGGTTGACCGAGTGTCTCACGATGGAAACTGGACCTATGAGTATCCGGGAACTCGTACTAATGTGATCAATGTTGGATCTTACAACTATCTTGGATTCGCTCAATCCGCTGGACCATGTGCCGACCAATCGGCTGCTAGCATTGACAGAGAAGGTCTTTCCTGCTGCACCACGGTCCATGAAAGAGGAAGAAGTGTGTCCCAGGCAAAGTTGGAGAAACTGGTTGCTGAATTCCTTGGAGTAGATGATGCAATCTGCTTTAGTATGGGATTTGCCACGAATTCAATGAATGCTCCATGTCTTGTAGACAAACATTCTTTGATCATTTCTGATAAGTATAACCACGCTTCTTTGATTCTTGGATGCAGACTTTCCGGAGCTTCCACCAAGGTTTTCGAACATAATGGTGAGCAAAAGAGTATTGGGATCCCGTTCATTTAAATTTTCAGACATGGAGTCCCTTGAGCGAATTCTCCGTGACGCCATTGCCTACGGTAATCCCAAGACTCATCGTCCATATAAAAAGATTCTGATCATTGTCGAAGGAATTTACTCAATGGAAGGATCCATTTGCAATCTTCCAGGAATCATTGCTCTCAAGAAGAAGTACAACGCATACTTGTATTTGGACGAGGCTCACTCGATTGGAGCAATGGGAAAAACTGGAAAAGGAGTTGTTGAATACTGGGGTTGTGATCCGAAAGACGTGGATATTCTCATGGGAACCTTCACAAAATCATTCGGAGCCGCAGGAGGATACATTGCCGGAGCCAAACGTACTGTTGACCATCTCAGAGTTGCCAGTCCAACTGGATATTATTCATCTCCAATGTCCCCGCCAATCGCTCAACAAATCTATACATCAATGTCGATTATTATGGGAAGAGATGGAACAAATGATGGAGCATTGAGAATTGAGAGACTCGCTAGAAACTCTCATTACTTCCGAATGAAGCTGAAACAAATGGGATTCATTGTGTACGGAAGCAACGATTCGCCAGTCGTTCCAATGTTGATTTATTTCCCAACGATGTGCGGATTCTATGGTCGTGAGATGTTGGCGAGAAACATTGGATGTGTTGTTGTCTCGTTCCCTGCTACTCATATGACGGAAGGAAGAGTTCGATTCTGTATATCAGCAGCACATACAAAAGAGCAACTTGATTATGTAAGTACAAATAGTATAGAAACCAAATTTCAAAAATAAAATTTTCAGGTTCTCGCAACGGTATGCGAACTCGGATCATTGAGTCGAAGCAAGTTCTCGCGACGATCACATTTGTACAAAAATCTCCAAATCGAATGGTAGAATTCATCGAATTTCAATTTCAACCAAACGGGCATTCTACTTCTCACTTTTGTATTGTTTTTCTCTAAATATTTAGAAAATAATTCTCCTTCGTTGTTTTCGGTTTGAAACGATTTATTATGCACAAATAAAGAATTACTTTGTATTATCCTGTTACAACAATAGTCCCAGCCACTAGGAAAATAAGAATTTTCTCGATTTTTATCCGTTTTCCGGTATTTAATTTGTTAGCTTTACATATATTTTCCGATTTTTTTAAAAGTTAATTAACAAAAAAAATCGATGAAAAACTGTGAAAAACGAGAAAAATTTGAAACTTTTTAGGTTACGGTAGTTTTCGCTGTGGGACCATCGACCACCGACGTTTTTATCCAATTATTTTGTTTCAAGAGATATAAACTTTAGAAGAGACGCAGTGTATTACTTATTGATTGAACCGATTCTTTGCACCAGCCAACACATTGTAGTTGTCTAAAAATGTCAACTAACCTATTCAGACGCTTTTTCTCTACAAAAATGAATGTAAATAATTTTGGTAAGCTCTTACTTGAATTTTTTTTAATTCTTTATGACCTGAATATTCAGTAAATACTCGTCAAGATGGACCTGTTCTCCTAATCCGAATCAATCGAGCCAACAAGAAAAACTGTGTGAACCATGCGACGGCTCTTCAGTTAATCGACGCTTTTGAGACTTTTAATAACGATTCTACGATGAAAACCGCAGTTTTGTATGGAGAAGGAGGCACGTTTTGCGCTGGATACGATTTGGAATCCGTCTCAAAAGCGGAACATCAAACTGTTGCTGACGATTTCTTTGACAAGTATCGATATATGGTGAGTGCTTTGATAGATCCCTTTTTAAATGAAATGATTTTTCTTTGTTCTTCAGGGCCCATCAATCATGAAAATCAAGAAACCACTGATAGCTGCGATCGAAGGATATGCAGTTGCAGGAGGATTAGAGTTAAGTCTCATGGCTGATCTCCGCGTTTCTTCTCCTTCTGCCAAGTTCGGAGTTTTTTGTCGACGAGTTGGTGTTCCGTTAATCGATGGAGGAACCGTCCGTTTGCCACGTGTCGTTGGCCTAGGAAGAGCTCTCGATTTGATACTAACTGGACGAGAAATCGAAGCAAAAGAGGCACTGGAATGGGGACTAGTAAATCGAATCGCAGAAGAAGGAAAAGTGATTGAAGAGGCAGTGAAGCTAGGAAAACTGATCGCTTCACACCCGGAAATGTGCATGTTAGCTGATAGAGAATCCACGTATTACTCTTTGGATCACACTGAAGAGGAGAGTTTTGCATATGAGTTTGAAAGCACAAAGGTTCTAGCAGAGAGTATCAAAGGAGCGCAAAAGTTTGTGGAACAGCAGAAGAATCGGAAATCAAAGTTATGAGATTATTTTTGTTGCATGAATGAAGATTTCTGAAAAATTTAATAATCTAGAAACACCGGTATCGGAAAACACAGGAGATAATTGAAATTCAAAAAGAGAAGGTGGAATTCAGGGAAAACATGCTATAAAATTACTTTGTCGGACATTTGTGTTCGCCATGATGAGAAATTATTCTCGCGAAGGAATTGGGCTGCTTCAGGAACATCGGGAAGGCTCGAAAGCATGTGACCTGAAAATATTTAGATAATCAAAATGTGTAGAAACATATGCAGATTCAAATAGCAGCAAAGAAGCCTTAAAAAGCGGAAAATTTGAGTTCTCGTCCTTTTCTGGAAACTTCCGGAAGGTTCTGGAGTTGCTTTTCCCGCTGAAACTGAAAACTTCGAAAAATAAACATACCGTAAAACCTCTAATAGAACGACACCCGGAACGTCCACTTTGAGCCTATATATCTCACTTCTTTTGAAAGATATCAAAAAGTGGTAACAAGTTAATGTTATCATATACAGCGGGGATCCTCTAG